GCGATTCACAACAATCGAAGTTTTTGCTCTTATAAAAGAAAATCCGCTATGTGCGGTTCATTTTGAGAATTATTGCATTAACAAATAATTCAATTAAATTTTAGTTTTTTTTTTCATTTCTGAATATGATGAGAAGCAGGAAGAAGAAGAGCTAAAAGTCCATTGAACTTCCAACGAAAGATTGCATTTCAATTTCATTTTTAATCTCAATTTTCTGGCATCGCACATGAATCAGTCGTTCACACATGCAAACATGTTCTGCTTCTAGATTGTGATCTGAGGGGGATAACAACATAGTTGGGAAAATTTTGTTAAAAAAATTTTGATTGAAAATTGCAATTTATTTAAGCGAAATTAGATTTTTGTTTGATCTTTGCTGAACTTTGAAGTTAAGTGAGTTCTGGTAAGGCTTAGTAAGTGTTGTCCAAACTTTTCGAGCCACGGCACACCTAAGCCATGACCAAAGTCGCACACAAAATGCGGCTCGCGATTAGTACTCCACACCAGTGTACCGCGTCACACAGTTTGTACAACACTGGCTTAGTGAGATCTAATAGGGCTATGAGAGGTTCAGAAACCTAAATACATTGTGTCCAACATTCTCATGACTATATTATCCCCTCATTTCAAATCCCAAACAAGAAGAATTTAAAAATTTGATCTTTTCTGATTCTTGCTTGCTTTTTCTTTTCATTCACCATAAGCGGTCTTTGTGGAATCAATTCACTGACTGCATTTGCATTGTGTTTTGTTGGCTATCAAATTAAGAGCACGGCAGAAGAAGAGTTTTTTTGAGATCAAAAAGAGGAAAATATTTTAATTATTTCAATGTGAGGCTTTTCCTTATAGCTTTACGGGCAAGAAAGAACAACAAATTAAAAGAATTTAAATGCGAAAAAAATGAAGAATTTAAATTGATTTTGCGGAATTGTTTGGAATGCCTTTGTTCTTTAGAAAGAAGTAAGGAAAATGGGATTATTGATGAGATCTGAGATGATAGAGTGCTGTTTTAAATAGGTTGTGTCTGGATTGTCAATTAGCCAGAAGTTCAACCATCTGAATTTAAATATGAGTAATTGCATGTACCTTAAAACTCACACGTTAAGGAAATCGGACTGAATCGTAACCTTTTTTCTTCAGTAGGCTTCATTTTCAGGTTTAGAAGGGCATGAAACTATACAACTTTAAAGTCAAACAATTCAATATTGTCTATTTTCTGACAAAGCTCACTAGCTACATGACTTACTAGTTGGTATGTTGTCACGCTCGACAAGGTTTTGTACTAAAAGGGGTGTGAAACTATGAAAAATGCGCTTCTATCCAAAAATTGTCAACATTTCTTACTTGTTCCCACTTTATGTAGGTAAAAGATTGCAATATAAGCCGAAACATGCATAAATAAAATGTCATAATCATGACTAATTAGCATGACTCATGAGGCACCCAACAACGCACATCCAATTCACAAAGGAAGTAACAAATCAACTTAGAATGCACAAAATGAAGACGATTCACCAAGAGGAAACCGAGATTCTCAAGACATTCTAATTCTTCACCACCTATAAGATCTATTTATGCAAAGGAAAGTTCATTAAATCTTTGAATCTTCATTGCATGTCAAGTTTCACTTCCCCGATATGAACAAATGAGCAGCAAATTGCACTACAAGTCACTCATCAACGCAAATGTTTACATTGCAAATTTATTTTTACACATCGAACATGAAATTTTTTATTAAATAAATAATTTGTTATGAAATGTTTCATTAAATATTTGCGTGAGCTGTAGCTTGTTAGGAGTGCTGTATGTTCGTCTGGTATGTAGTTTGGGTTGAAATTAAATGTGAGTGATGATCTTTATTGATGGAATATGCTTGTTTTTACTCATGTAAGGTTTTAGTAGCTTCTAGTAGCTCTATACAGTTCTTGATAGCTCTACATAGCTTCTTATAACTCTCCGTAGCTTCTTACAGCTGTTTTCAGCTTCACATAACTCTCCATTGCTTCTTACAGCTCTGTATATCTTCATATCCCTCCCTGCTCTCATAAAGATGCTAACAGAGCTCAAAACCGTCTAAACAAGTGTCAAATGCTCAACATAACCTAAATTTAAAGTGTCAAATGATCCAAATTCATTAACAATCTTCCTCTTTAAAAGTCAAAATGCGTGAATAATCCACAAAAATGTCACTTAAACATTTAATTAAATTCGAATTTTCTTTTCCCGCTTTTTAAGTCCGTTAAACTAATTTTTATTGCATGTTTCGAGCATTATTAAATGAGCATTTTAATTAAGTAAATTAAAATTGAATAATTTATGAGCTTTCGTTTAATAGGAAAGACTCAGTGGGAATACAAAGCATAATGGAGAAGATTTACTGTGATGAATGTAATATTGATTAGTGTTATTGAGTACGGATTTTAAGCCTTTATAGACAGAGAATTGGCGTGAAGTATGCAAATTAAATGTAAATTCTAAGGTGTCATTTGTGTGTGATGCAATAAATTGGCTTTGCATGTTGTTTGAGAATCCATTAATAATTCATATTTTACAATGAAGATGATGAAGATGTGAGCTGTAAACATAAGGAGTTTGGAGTGTGGAGTGGCTAGCTTGTTTTAATATTATGCAATTGCTTTTAATCAACTTGTACTAAGGTATCTGAATTTGTGTCAGATTAAGCTTTGTGATCTCAATTATACATAAATTGACTAGAGAAGTGAGGATGTAAATAAAAGCTAATATATCCACAAAGAGGAGAAGAATGGATTATCCTCAACAAGTATCAGATTCACTAGTAAATCAACAACAATAACCAATTTTGACAAATTCAAACTAAAACTCTTTCTCATGATTCATCCTCAAAATTTCACAATCAAATTAAAAACAAAATAAAATCTTCACACATTTTTAATGCCAACCGACTTCATCATCATTCTGAATAAAACTATAAATTTAAATAAATTTTACGACTTTTCAATTAAAAGTTTCTGATTTCTTTGAAGACTAATTTTTTCATATATATTTCGAGTCACATTGATCTTCACACGACAATAATCAAATGTAATGTCACAAGTAATAAAAAGTGATGCAATAAATAAACAATTGTGACTAAGTGCGACAGAATTTTTGTGTTTAGACATTCAGCATGTCACTTTTTTAATCCCTCTGTGTGGGTATTTTGAAATTCATATTTTTTTGTGATTTATTCGCTCTCTTTTAACTTTTTATTTCTTTTTCTTTTCTGTTCTGTGTGTGGCAACTGAAAGTGCTATGGGTGGATATGACAAAATATTTCTTTTAGGGATATGAAAAATGCTGGTAGCATAAACATTTACATTTATGCCTCATTCAATGTCATTTAAATCAGATCAGAGATTCTTTTAGATTAACTTTTTGAGATAAAAATATGTTGATTGTCATTGCTGGTTTAATGGTCATAAATGTTGGTAATTTTTGGAATGATGATATTGAAACCTCAAGGTTAAATATTTGTATTGTGATTTGGATAGCAGCTATTACTATTACAACTCTAGTGTGGCTCTAGTGTTGCACTAGTGCTGCTCTGGTGCTGCTCAAGTGTAGTTCTAGTGTGGCTCTAGTGTTGATCTAGTGTGACTCTAGTATTGCTCTAGTGTGGCTCTAATGTTGCTCTAGTGTGGCTCTTGTGTTGCTCTAATATGGTTCTATTGCTGCTTTAGTATGGCTCTAGTGTTGCTCTGGTATTGCTCTAGTGTTTCTCTGGTGTTGATCTGGTGTTGCTTTAATGTTGCTTCAGTGTGGATCTAGTGTTGCTCTAGATTGACTCAAGTGTTGCTCAGATGTTGTTCTGGTGTTGCTCTAGTGTTGATCTAGTGTGACTCTAGTATGACTCTAGTATGGCTGTAGTATTGCTCTGGTGTGGCTTTAGTGTTGCTATAGTATGGCTCTATTATGGCTCTAGTATGGCTCTGGTGTTGCTCAAGTTTGGCTCTAATGTTGCTCAAGTTTGGCTCTAGTGTGGTGCTAGAGTGGTGCTAGTGATGCTCTAGTGTTGATCTAGTCGGGCTCTAGTGTGACTCAAGTTTGGATCTAGTGTTGCTTTAGTATGACTCTAGTGTTGCTCTGGTGTGGCTCTAGTGTTGATCTAGTGTGGTTCTAATGTTGCTCTAGTGTGGCTAAAGTGTGACTTAAGTGAGACTTAAGTATGGCTCTAGTGTTGCTTTAGTTATTATGTACATTAACAGAACAAAGAACTTTTTTTTTACTTAAAAAGAAAGTTCATTAAATAATAAAATTTAAATATTAATTCTGCCTCATTAAAATACAAACGAAAAACATTAATCCAGTTATTGTTTGTATTAATCTAGAATGACAATTGTTGCTCATTCAGTGAATTAAATATTGAATTTTACTTAAAAATCTTGTCACAATAAAAAGAAAACTTTCACACTTGTTTGATTTTGTTTATGATTTTTGTAACAAAGAAAATTGACGTTTTTCAGGAAACAATGAGGAAATTGTGAGTCAGTAAGCAAAAAATATTCACTGAAACGCAATTGTGTCTGGAAATTGAGTAAAGTTATTGCGTAGATTACATTAAGCTTTATTTTCAAAACTTCTGACTTTCAATCTGGTTCTAAGTGAAATTACTCATTCTGAATTTTTGTATTTTTCTAGAATTTGAAATCCAAAAATTTGACATTTCAATCGTCAACAAATCATCTGAAAATCACTAAAATCTCAATCAACATACTTCAAACAATCTCAATTCATCATTCACAAACTATTTCACAAATCATCACTACCAAATACAGAACATAACCTAAAATCCAACATCAACAACACCTAAATCAATAAATAAAACCTTTTTTAATTAATTCCACATCTTAATCACAATTCAATCTTTACCCACAGCTGTTAATCTTATTCATCAACCTTTAAAAAAATAAATGAATCCATCCATCAAAACACAGCATGAATAACAAAAGCAATAATGACACAAAAGAGCAATAATAAACATGAGGAATGGCATCAATGACGAACACTTGAGACCACGCAAAAGCGATAAAATCGAATCAAAATCACATTTAATGTCAATTAAATTAAAATTATCATCTTATTCAATCATTTTCTGTGAGTCTGTGGCTGTACGACTCGATGTCTTTTATGTTTCACAATCTTATTCTGAGCATCTGTCAGCTGTGTGATGCTTTTGTGGTGAATATCATCAGAATTTTTTGGTGATTGTCATGGAGACAAGATGATATCGCAAGATATAGAAAGCATAAAGAGAGTTACACATGGGTTCACAACTGGTCAAAAGGGGGGGGGGGGTAAAGAGCTAGTCACAGTGGTTCATAGTTGGTCACAAGGGGTAGAAAACTAGTCGCAGGTTTCCATAGGGGCACATAGCTAGTCACAGGGGTTTACAGCTGGTCAAAATGGGGCACATAGCTTGTCACATGGGTTCGCAGCTGGTCAAAAGGGAGTCAAAGCTAGTCAGAATGGTTCATAGCTGGTCAAAAAGGGTAGAAAACTAGTCACAAGGGTCCATAGGGGTACATAGCTAGTCACAAGGGTTCACAGCTAGTCAAAAGGGGGTACATTGCTAGTCACAGGTGTTCGCAGGTAGTCAAAAGGGGTACAACGCTAGTCACAGGAATTGCAAACCTGACAAACTCATTACATGCTCACACATTTACATCTTATCTCGCATTCGACTGATTTAAATATTACAACTCGCTAGCTAGCTTACGATGCGGGAAAAAGAACAAAAAAGAAGAAAAAGCGCGGATTTTAAATTTTTTTGTGCGTTGATTGCGGTTGTAATGACTATGCGGCTTTTGTCAATTGATTATCAAGTGGGCAGATTGAGTGTCTGTACAAAAGGGCTTTTGTAGATCTTGTTTATGATACTTTAAATGCAACGTTTATGGCACACGTGCTTTTATGGATTTACAAAAGGTTGCTTTTTTTCGAGATGATGAAAATTGAAATTTGATGAGCTGTTGAGATTTTATGGCTTGATTTAAAATTATTTTGGATGCTGTGGTGCGGAAATACTGTCTGGAAGCTGATTTTATTTGAAGATTGCTGATTAATTTGGATTGTAATGTTTTCGGAAGGAAGTTTAAGTTTCTAGGTCAAGAATTGACTCTTGCTGATTTGCTTTGATTCGAAGTTGAACCTGTTCCATGTTCCATTTTAATCTCAAAATTCCAATTTTAAACCTCAGACACCAAATCAGAACTCCAAAACACGGAAATCATGCCGAGTAAAACCATACAAAGAACGCAGCCGTCAACAAAGCAATTAATTACATCCAAGGAGCTGTGAAATGTTTACATTTCTCATCCATTTCCATCGCTTCATCATTGCCATAACCATAAGTATTAAGAACATCAAAACATAAAGAAACAAAGTGTGAGTCACACACATTAATCTGTGACATAATTTACATATAGAATATTTATTTTTATTTTTACAAGCGTCTGTTTTTTTTGTGTAAGGCGATACAGACATCCATTCAACATGTTTCTGTGACTCTATTTTATTTTTAGTCATCTCAAGATGTGAAAAAAATGACACGTAAAAAGTAAAGCACGCGAGATTTTTTTTGCAATTTTTTATGAATTTTTTTTTTGCTAGATTTTTTAATTTAAGCATCGATGCATGTTTGACATGAGTTTGTGAAATATTTTTTGCAGTGTTCTAAGAAGAAGTTTAGGTAAGAAACTAGGTTTTCTGGTCTGTCTGTCTGAATGCTGTTTGTGACTTCGGTCATGGCTTACCTCTCAGGTGTGCCGGGGCTCAAAAAGTTTGGACAACACTAGTCTATCTGGAAGTTTCAGATAGCTACCAGTTTCATTACATCCCACAATTTCCTAAACAACTCAATAACTCTATAAATCGACATAATCCTTCAGAGTCAAATCTATCACAAAATGAACTTAATTATTTGTAAATGAACCAAATGACAGTGTATAAAAAATACTTCATTACTGCTCTGATGCAAAAAGTACTCAATCTTGTGCTGATTAATGACATGAAAGAATCATGTGAGAAAGTAATCAGAAGGAATTACGTATGATAATAATATGAATTAAGCACATCATTTGCAATTAAGTGCAAGAAATTACTTCATTTATTTTGTCATTGATGATTGCCAGGAGTGGTTTGTGGTGTTTATTAAGGCATAAAAGCTAAAAGGGGGTCCTAAAACTAGGCATTATGCATAAAAAAAAAAACTTTTTAAAAAACTACGTTTTTCGCGTAGACTAAAAAGTAGAAAATAACTTTTATTCTTGGTTGTAAAGAATTTGGTTTTAAATTTTCAGATTATATTTAATAAATTTTTATATCCTAGTCAATATTGTTCACAAAGTTTCGAATAAGCGCACTTTGATCTTATCGTATAACTCAACAACTTAAAAACGTGGGCGCATTAATTTAAGTTTATCATAAAGTATTGATTTCACATAAACTTATTTCTCCTCTTATAATGCGCCCACGTTTTTAAGTTGTTGAGTTATACGATAAGATCAAAGTGCACTTATTCGAAACTTTGTGAACAATATTGACTAGGATATAAAAATTTATTAAATATAATCTGAAAATTTAAAACCAAATTCTTTACAACCAAGAATAAAAGTTATTTTCTACTTTTTAGTCTACGCGAAAAACGTAGTTTTTTAAAAAGTTTTTTTTTATAAAGTATTTTATTTTCTACTTTTTAGTCTTATTCTAATGAAATAGAGAAATAAAGATTATAGGGGGTTTATAGGTTACAGGTGTGTTGAACTCCACTTCGTTGCACTTCGTTACGTTCAACTGTTTATAGATTACAGTAGGTTTATAGGTTACAGGTGTGTTGAACTTCACTTCGTTGCACTTCGTTACGTTCAACTGTTTATAGATTACAGTAGGTTTATAGGTTACACGTGTGTTGAACTTCACTTCGTTGCACTTCGTTACGTTCAACTGTTTATAGATTACAGTAGGTTCATAGGTTACAGGTGTGTTGAACTCCATTTCGTTGCGCTTCGTTACGTTCAACTGTTTATAGATTAGAGTAGGTTTATAGGTTACAGGTGTGTTGAACTTCACTTCGTTGCACTTCGTTACGTTCAACTGTTTATAGATCACAGGAGGTTTATAGGTTACAGGTGTGTTGAACTTCACTTCGTTGCACTTCGTTACGTTCAACTGTTTATAGATTACAGTAGGTTTATAGGTTACAGGTGTGTTGAACTCCACTTCGTTGCACTTCGTTACTTTCAACTGTTTATAGATCACAGGAGGTTTATAGGTTACAGGTGTGTTGAACTTCACTTCGTTGCACTTCGTTACGTTCAACTGTTTATAGATTACAGTAGGTTTATAGGTTACAGGTGTGTTGAACTTCACTTCGTTGCACTTCGTTACGTTCAACTGTTTATAGATTACAGTAGGTTCATAGGTTACAGGTGTGTTGAACTCCATTTCGTTGCGCTTCGTTACGTTCAACTGTTTATAGATTACAGTAGGTTTATAGGTTACAGGTGTGTTGAACTTCACTTCGTTGCACTTCGTTACGTTCAACTGTTTATAGATTACAGTAGGTTCATAGGTTACAGGTGTGTTGAACTCCACTTCGTTGCACTTCGTTACGTTCAACTGTTTATAGATTACAGTAGGTTTATAGGTTACAGGTGTGTTGAACTCCACTTCGTTGCACTGCGTTACGTTCAACTGTTTATAGATTACAGTAGGCTTATAGGTTACAGGTGTGTTGCACTTCGTTACGTTCAACTGTTTATAAATTACCAGTTTTCAATGGGAAATTAGTAACGACTTTCAAAATTTTTCATTCGTTTTATAAAATTTAATTTTTTTAAAGCATTCATTAGTAAAGTACATTAAAAATCATTCGTAAAAATTTTGTGTTTATCCGAACCATTCCTACTACATAACGTTTGGATTCTTAACATAAAGATGCAAATCAAATCTATATGTAACGTATTTATAACGGATTTTCAAATTTAAATTCAATGAATATCATTTATATGTTATGCAAAAATACGTCAAACCGTTAATAAAAAGAAAAGTCAATTTAATTAAGTTGGTGAAGTGTTATAAATAATGCAATACATTTAAAACAGCATAAATTTATGCTCAAACTATGTGTGCTAAATGCACATCGCATATTAATAGTTATTTTGCATTAATTCGTAACGGACTTGTGCTTAACGGTTTTTTTGAAAATTCAAATTTTCACTTACGAATATTCATGAAAAAATTACATGTCAATTTTTTTGTCTTACCAGAATATCTTTAGCTGCTCAAATTTATGGTATAATTAATAATTAGTAATATTAATTAAACTATAATGAATCATATAAATGACTTAAGAGCATCACAAGTATAATATTTAATACAAATCAAAATTTTATATCATTGACATTGGATTTTTTCCCATATAAAAAAGTTTTACATAAATTGTACTATAATTAAGCATTTTTGTGTTTCCAAAGTGTTAAAATATTGTATTGTCACCGGGAATACATGTGCAATAAAAATTTGAGCTCGATTGGAGCAGTAGAAGTGGTCGAAAAATTGATCGCAAGATTTGAAATTTTTTGCAAACAAACAAACAAACAAACAAACAAACAAACAAGAAAGCAAGTTAAGAAAAACGTAGTAAAAATGTCAGCTTGTTTCCATGAACACTATTAACTCTCCTGGCTATTAATAGTTTTAAAGATGAAATAGTTTCAATTACTTCGTACAGTCTTAATAAGCTTCAATGCCTCATGCTGGTACATGCAAACATAAAACACAGAGTAGAACTTCCATCGATCTACTGAGGATAAGTTACAGTATGCGTATATAATTAAATGTGACATGCAACATGTCATATAGCGTGTGGCTCTCTTTATCGTGGGCTGAAAAATATTATTTAATGCATCTTAAAAATAAATTAATTTTTCAGTTTGATGTATTTTGGTTTGTCACAATTTAAGAGCTGTTCTGACTTGTGCTAATGTGGATAGTTGAATGTTTGTTGGATTAATTGGTGTTTTCTAGCTTAATTTTTTTAATTTTTTTGTTCTAGTTCATATCCCGAATAGCACAAGACGGTTAATCGAATAAAAATCGGGTCCCAAGCTGGTTCGACTTTAGCATGATGCTGGATTTAAATCGAAGCCAGCACCATGCTAGCAAATCTTTATTCAGCGTGAAGAGGTTCTTTCTATAATACGATAAAAGTATTACCTGGTGCAATGTATGCTTTTGTGTACCATGCCTTCACCTTACTATACTCTAGGAAATCTAGTTAACCATAGCAGACCAAAGTTTGCCATATATAAGATAGGATTTTTCTTGAATAGCGTACTCAATGTCTGGTTTACACGAAAAACCGTTCTTAGTAAGCCATAATAAAACCGAACACCACCTTGATGAATTTATCCGTCTGCAAGACTGGCTTGTGACTTGTGGTGACGTGGTGTGTCCTAGACGTTGCTACAAGCCACAATGCAGCCTTGCGGACGGAGAAATTCAATAAAGTGTCGCCTTCAAATCGCAACCATTTCAACATAAACTTTGCCACCCGACCAAGCCATAATAAATTGGACCCTAAAATCATTATGATGAATTGTTGTTTGATCGGTATCATGGCTAAACCCTAGCGACTATATTGTTCCATTCTGGCTTTTAAAATTCTTAATTTATCAACTTAACAGTAAAAACTGATCAATAGACTCCAAAAATTGACCATCAATCCCATCTTATAGCCACAAACTACTTGAAAAAGCAATAAAAGTGACTTGTAATGGTAATTAAAATATTCTTCATGCATTAATCTAAACAACATTTAACAAAATGAGAATCGTAAATTTATCCCAAGTAGCTTCTTATTTTCACTTTTGTGTACTTCAATGTCTTATTTTCTCATTATCTTCTTCTTCTTTGCACACTCGACATAATGATTTTATAATTTTACGAACAAGAAGTGACCTTAAAGAAATTTTATCCTACAGGCAATTTAAATGCTTTGCACCTACGACATGTAATTTTCGTTATAGTAATTTAAAACCTTAATGAAGGCCAACAAATGAAGAATTTTTCAGCTATACAAGAACCTTTGCCCTTGCCACCCACGAATTTTTTTTTTTGTTAAATCATAACTTGAGGAGATGGAATCAAAAACCGCAGAAGCGCAGACAAAGTAAAATACAGACTAGATGCAATAATCATGATCGTCACGATATTTTTACTTTTTTTTTGTTATAAAAAAAATCAGGATTAAATATTTTTTTTTGTGTACGATTTCGTGAGGCTTTTTTGGTATCAGAAAAATTGGAATTGTGGTGACTTATAGCTTTGTCTTTTCGACTACCTTAAGACTGTTTAATCTACCCTGAACAGAATTTACTGTTTACCAAAATGCGCTCTAAATGCAGACATATTTTCTTTAAAAATAATATCAAAATTCCTCCGTCCAATCAACCGTAAAAATAAATTAAAAATCTTGTTCTCATGTTCTTACCTGAATTAATCTCGTCTGCACGTGAGCTTCATCGCTGACTCGCCTATTCGTATCACTTTCTTCGTCATCATATTCATCATCATAATTATCAATTGTCTTCACCGTCGTCGTCGATTTTGTTGTTGTTGTCGATGTAGTTGGTGCACTTGTGGTCGTTGTCTTTCCACCATTAAGTCTCTTATGTCGATACATTATATTAAGACCGTCCTGATGTTGATGAATTGCGGGCATTGTCTCATCTTCATGAATACTATTATTATCTACCTCATGTGTCTCATGATGATGATTGTGCTTCTTATGATGATGCCGCAACGGCGTTAGTTCCTCAAAATCTACTTTATTTATTGTGTTTCTGTATTCATCGAATGCTTCTCGTATATCGTGAATTTGATTGCTATTTATTGTTAAAAATTGATGCTTATGACGATGTTTATGATGATGTGGTGACTGTAGACTTGTTGCTGCTAATATTTGCGTGATTTGATTAGTGAATGTCAAGATTAAAATTAGGGAGAGCAATGTTGGGCTGAATTGCGGTGACTTTTGCCTTTGCCGGTGCATTTTTGAATTGTTTTTTATTTTGTGTTTTGAAATTTTTAAACAATTTTTCACAATTTTAATTTCAATTTTTTTCAACTGTCACTTTTTATTTATTTTTAATGATTTCATATATTTTTTGACTTTGATAAAGACCTTTCTATTTCAATTTATCAACTTTTTCTCGATCACTAGTTTGATAAATTTTCCAAAAAGCCCTCAAATTAATTTTTTTATTTCACTTCCTCAATAATTTTTCATTTCTTTATTTCAATTTTTTTTTCACTGCACCAATTTTTCACATCTCTCAAGCACAAATAATCGTTCAGATCTGTAAATTATGATTGTTCCTCCCAATATGGATTATATAGAGCTGTGGTGAAAGGAAAGGAAGTTTATGTAAACAAAATTATTATTTATAAATCATACAGCATTAAATTATCATAATCGGTTCACACACCATACAAAAAAAAACTTTTATTATTATTGATTGTAAGAACGATCAAGATCGAAAGATTTCTTCTTCTTTTCATTGCTATGTGCGCTGTATGCTGTGCTAAGAAGAATGAATGAGGAATTTTAAGTGCATTTAGTTGAGAATGTTTATGTTTAAATTGGATTTTTGAAAAGATACAGAAAGAAATGTTGTGACTAGATCATGGAATTAAGAGTTTTTAGTTTTGAAATTGGATGAATTTGAGGCACTATGTGGGAGTTATATTAAGTCGGTGATAAATTTTTGCTTTCTTTGACCTAATATTGAGTTATTGATTGTCAATTATTGACTTTAACAAGGATGCGTTTCTTATAAATACTCCAAATTTTAAAATAAGCTAGAATAGCTTATGAGGGCTGATTCTATGACTAGAGACTTAGAGAGAGGGAAGAGTAACAAAACTAACGTTACTTCATTGAGAGCTGCAATCTCATTTTGGAATAGGATATTGAACTAGAGTCACAATAACGAGTAAACAACCAACCTATCAGCTTTGATGTTACTCTTCCCTACAGCATTACTTTTGTTCCTTACATTAAGTTGAATACTTAGTATCAAAGCCAATCTCATAGCTCCAAAGCAACTTCTTCCTATTCATAATAACTACTCGATCAGCACACATTGAAATTCATTGGAATGTTTTCCACCCGGCAGCTGGGTTGATAGTATAATTAGGATAATTGGCAATAGCAGTCTCTTGGCATCCAGTTAGAAGCTGCTTCCAATCGGCTACCGCTTGGTTCTTATTATACTATCAACCCGACTGCCGGGTTGTAAACATTTCAATGTGTGCCGATCTGGCTTGTGTCAAAACATGACGTAAGTTATCAAGCCCGTGAAATCAATACAACCTTGAACCCGTTTAAAGGATCCATTTAAACAACCTTGGGTTTTTACTCGTAAAAGATATAAAGTTTGTTTCAAATGTCCTCATATTACAAACATTGAGCATCCTAGTTTTGCTATTTCTAAGCTTCAATGAACCATGAATATTTTGACAAAACTGCTGAAAAATTTAAAACAAAATCAAGATCAGCGAGTATTCTATGCTCATCACAAACTACAAAACATCATTTCAGTTTCAATCCCGTCCACGACTTAACCAGTAGTCAGATTAAATATCACATCTATTCATATTTTGTTCCATTCTCATTCTAAGTCGCTTAATAACTTCTAAAGAATAATTTATGGCAATAATCTTTAAACGACTTATGCTTCATTAAGATCACATTTCACAGCTGCATCTCAAACTTTCTTTCGACCGTAAAGCAGAAAATTTTCCAGTTTGTTTAAGGCTGTCATATTGGTTTTTTATCATTAATGTGCAATGACTTTAATGAACATTCTGTGCACGAATTTTACGCTTAATTTCTCTCGAAAAAATGGTGGACTATCAGATGATAAATTTACAGTAACGATTGGTGTCTTTGACATCGGCAAATGATTTATGGGTTATGATTGTAGGTTTTTAATTTTTAAGATAGGATTGATTTGTTCGAATCTGTTTGTCAGATTTACTCAACTTTTTTAAAAAGGAAGAATTCCTATTTGGGTTGTCTATGAAAAAGCTAGACATCCAGACCAAACCAGCCGAACAGTCAGCCATTCAGAATGCTAGACTTTAATTTGTTTTAATTTTATTAAGTGCCAAACCCCAAAAACAGATTTATTTTTGGTAAAATTTAAAAGAAATGACCAAACTAAGCCGTCTTTACTCTCAAATTTGGCCATACCAAAAAATACCTTTAGTGACCGAGATCTTTGACATCAAGAATGTTTCAATAAGCATCGAAAAAGAAGGTTCAACGGAATTAAATTATTTCAAAACTTCAACATAGTAAAAATGTTCATCTCAGAAATTCTTATCTCAATAAACAATGAAAAATATTTTAACAATGTCGGTTCCTTCCACTTCCTTCTCACTGTAATTTTCTGTAATCTTTAATTTTTTATCTTTTTTCACTCCTTTTTTCTCGTTTACTTTTAAGTTGGTCTCAGCATTATTTATTTATTAAATGTGAAGTTCCATTCAACTCAACTCTCAGCTTTTTTCATATACAAAATAAAATAAAGAAATAAAAAACAAATACAGAAGAAGAAAAAACTTTTTTTTCCTTCCACTTCTTATGTTATTAAGTCATCGTCGTTTTCGGCTGCTTCAAAAGGTCAATTTTAATATTATAAATGTTTACTGAGCACATGTATGAAATTGATAAAAAAAAACGCGCATCTGCTCTTTGTGAAATTTTTCATTCGCATTTTTTTTTTGTTCTCTCTGTTTCGAGACTCTCGCGTGATTTTGGTTTATTTTATGGTTGTAAGTTTGTTTGGTTCTACATTTTGTCGTTGTGATGAATATTGATTAGGATTTATAATGATTCGTGGTTTAAAAGTAAGGATTAGGGTCAAAGGTACAGTGTTAATGCACCTGAATGTCAAAATCATTGTGTGAATGCACCTGAATCTCAAAATCATTGTGTGAAGATACCAGAACCTTATCAAACCTAGTGTAAAGGCACCGAAAAACAAAACTGTAGTGTAAATACATCTGAACCTCAAGTTAAGTAGTGAGAAGGCACTTTAACTTCAAAAACTTTGGTTTGTGGGCAACTGAGCTTGAAAAAACTCTTGTTTTAAGGACGCTTTACAACAAAACTCTATCGTGAACCTGAATCTTAAAGACTCTGTTGTGAAGGCACCTGAATTAAAAATTCCAAAAAAATCCATGCGCTCCATAATCCAACTCATTCCTGCATCAATCCTACTCAAATTTCTATACATATTTTGTTGCTACTCTTGTCGTGGATATTGAATCTCATTATCAATTTAAAACATTCACTCTCGACTCTTCAGTCTTCTTCTTCATCATCCACTTGTTTTTTTTGCGGCACTACTTTTCATATATTCATATTTTGACTGACTCTTTATGCCTGCAATTTTTCTTCTCCATTATTATTCATGTTATGTTATGGAGCAATTTTCAGTGATGTTTTAAATTGTTTACGACTTTTTTTTATGATTGCTACTGTTTATGGTACTGATTGGACATTGACTGCAGCTAGAACTTTCTAAAGTAGAATTTTATGGATTTTTTTTTGACGATTTGTTGATTTTTGAGAGCAACGGAGCGTGTTCTTGATAAGGTCAAGGGGGTCGACTAAGGAATTTTTGAGCATTTTTTTGGTAATGTTTTTAAAACAGAAATTTGAGACAGTTTGAATTAAGTTTAGCAGCACTCATTCCTTTTACGTCTTAATTCAATTTTTCATTCACTTATTTACTCTTCATTTCATTCTCAAATCTGCATGTCCACGTCTCGATCATTCCTTCATTCCCATGTCTAGTCACGACTGGAAATACGTGTCAATTCAGTTTACTATTCAATTAGTAACTCATATGTCGGATTGTCGTTTCCTTTCCACAGTTCAAGGAGAATGAACATACTGGAGATATCAAGTAAAGCATGCAAATAATGAAGTTATTTTGAATGCTATGATCCAGCTCGTGCATGCAATTGCTACTTCAGAGAGGATTTTTTCGAGATTACTGGATGGGATTATCATTGTTTAAAAAGTTAACTAGGTTTACTATAAGTCTGGATATATAAAAATAGCCCTTAACAACACCGGAAAGTCGAAACCCTGAATTTGATGTGAATATGACTACAAACTATTAGTTTCATTCTGAATTATTTACCTTATCAGTACTATGTGGCTTGTCATCTCAATGCAATCCCAAATAACACAAGTCGGTTAATCGAATATACATCTGGCACAAAGCTGACGTAATAGTAATGTGAGAGGGTTCCAGCCAAGCGGTGTCTTACTACACATTGCGATGAGCTGAAGGCACTGCGATCCTGATCGACGATAGAATCTTTAGTAAAGTTCCCTTAAAGCTGGCGTAACTCTGGCATAGTTCGATTTGATTCTAGCACCATGCCATAGTCATGCAGGCTTAGTGCCAGATTTTTATTCGTTTGAACGGCTTGTGCTATTTGGGAATGTATGACAACGGAATTGAAACAACATAACTCAAGTAAGGAATTAACAATACTAAGTTAGAACCACTAGCTTAATCTTATCAATTTAGCAGCTTACGTACCATAACCTCAGAAGTCCCCGAAAAACTCAAAAATCTCAAAATCCACTTCTTTTTCTTCCCAATCAATTAATTCTCATCATCATCACACACTTAACTTAGTGACACACTCAAAAGCAGCAAAGTGTCTCCTATTAATTAAATTTATTGTCTCATTAATTCCCTCGTTATGTGACCCATTCTAGACTGTGTGTACTGTGCGGTCTATGCTCAATAAATATTCCACGAAAAAAAAAAATAATAAATTTTTTTTCATATGTTTTATTTTTTTTTTTTTTGGAAGGCGTAACTAATGACTGACACATTTGTAGTATGTACGAATATGAGAGAACAGATGATTATTTCGTCATAATTCTCAAATGCTCATTTATTGCTGTGTGTCACTTTCTTGTCGTTCCCCGGACATTAATAGCATCGTGATGCGAGACTGCTCATTCATATGCACGGTATTGGCTTTGATTATGCTTGACTTGAATTGCAGGATTCATGCAGGATGAGATTGCAGATGAGAAATTTATGACAGAAGTGAAGTTTTAATTTAAAAATCGGGTCTGACTTGAGATGAAGCTGAATGATGATTTTTTTTTTTTGGATATTGCTTTCGGGTGCTGACGACTGTGTGCGGAATTTTAAATGAAGTTGGATGCTTTGAGGAATTGATTTGAAGAATTTTATCTGCAGTATTGCGGATTTAGATTTTTCATTTGCTTTTTGGATTTGATAGAGTTTCATATTTTTGTGTAATGATACTACACATAGCTCATCTGTTATATGTGTTATGATTTTATGTTCAAGAGGAACTAATTAGACCAGTTACTGTTAAACTATTCTGAACGCGACAAACTGAACCAAGAGCTTAATAATATAAGCGTTATAATTAAGTAAATTAATATTTTTTGGCATTTTAACTCTAAACGTGGTAATATAATGAGCCTTAATATCTATGTTGTACTACATAAATTCATTTTGAGTTCGTTATGCCGATCACCACTTATAATTACACCAAAGGAACTTAATTTAACTGATTTTTGTATAATTGTCGCTCGGGATACTTGCATATAGGAAAGCATACTTTAACTTACAGCTGACAAGACTCTAATTTGGAGATGCATTAGTTTGTAGTTTGGACTCTTTTAAAGTCTATACATTTCTGACTTGTAAAGCCTAGACTCTACATAAGCTTAGCAACTCGAGTTTGAGTTGTCAGTGGAACAAAAAAAAAATCATTTTATCAACCAAAAAAAATTCACCAAATTTATAATTTTGTATTACAATTCCAAATTTACAAACTCAACTGACTGAATGACTGAATAAAACACGTCAATTCAGATTTGAGGCTTATCAATAATTACAGATAGTCGCATAGTATAAAAATGAGAGTGAGAGGTTCAGGTTGTCAAACAAAAAATGAGTAAAAATTCTCATTTTAATTTAAAATTCTGATTACAGAAAATTACGTTGACGAAATTTTAATTCAATAATGCAAAGTAGAAGTAATAATGGGACATTTACAAGCAGAGTTTTGATTAAAGTATTGCTAAAAAACACAGTTGGAGCAAAGAGGTTTACTAGGGCCTACACCAGCGTTGTCCAAACTTTTTTCAGCCATGGCACATTTTGACTTTAGATATTTTTTCACGGCACGCCTAAGAATTTTAATTTAAATATCACCATCCATGGTACACCTGAGGATGTCCTTTGGCACACCAGTGTGCCAAGGTGCACAGTTTAGACAACAATGACCTAGAATTCAGATGCCACGAGAAAAGATTGAATCCAGAAAACAAAAATCCTTGCAACGAACCTGATTACAAAGTAAAAGTTGTAGGAGTCGTCAAGAATGAAATGCACAAAAATTTGAGACGTTAAAAAACAGCAGAAGCATAAGGAATTTACAAGAAATTTGAAATGTGTGAAAATATTTGTTTAAGGGGATTGAGGAATCCGAAGTCTGATTCCCAAGCTGACTAAATGTCAAGTGCATACCTTCTCGTGATATCCCATGATACTGCTGGCAACTCAGCCCTGTGCCAGAATAAGATCTTTAAACAATAGTTTAAAAGCCTATCGAAATAACCCCGCCCTATGCTGGCAACCCCACATCCAGACAAAGAAAGCACATTTGTTCAAATTTTTTTTGTGAAATCTCATTTTAAGTTTTAAACCACATTCATTCAGTAGCATTATTTGGAAGCTGTAGTCAGGAAACTCCTCAAGAACCTAAATTGAATGGGTCATGTAATCTAGCTACATCTAGCTCGATGGATTTTGCTAAGATTCAAAAACTACACAATCGCGTTTTATGTATTTTGATCAGTTCTTTATCCTTTTGACTCAAAACGCACAACACTCATGCTACGCCACTGATAGGAATACCTTAGTGCTACATACGTCGACTAAGAATATTCCTAACTTCAATTTTATTTTAAAAGCTCTCAAGAATTATTTTCTTTTTTCATTATCATCAGCACAATCACTTGTTTAATTAAATTATTTCATCATAGTTCTCTCATCACATTACTTACTCTTGTGATTATTCATTGTCTGTTATTTTAAATTAGTCATCTTACTCTCACATCGAGTACGAGATCAATGCACAAACATATGCGAAAATATTCTTTGTTTAGAAAAAAATAAACAGTCGCAAATGTGCGATGCGATTTGCATCCAGGTCTATAAAAAAAATTCATAATAACCACGTTACAACCAGTTCTGTTGGAGATTAGACAGACAAATGCAATGTTCGTTGATAAATTTTTAATTTATTTTATGCGAGAACAATAAAATAATTTAAAATATTGAAAGTGGATATATGATTGAGGAAAAAAAATATTTATTTTTATTATTAGAGTTTTATGGAATTAAGTTGTTGCGCATATTAATTAAGAGATATGGTGACATTTCTTGTCTTGACAGGTCTAAAGCAGGGGTAGAGACATTGTGTGGGGGGTTCTGACACAGCGGATATGACCAAATTTGACATATTTTGGTTTAATTCCTAATTATTGATTTTATGCAAATTCGAGATAAAGTTCCAAACTGCGTCAACAATTCGGCTTCTATTGGTCATCTCTCGATCTTTCTAATTTGCAATGGTTTAGTAGCAATCAAATTATGCTCAAAATAACTCTAAATGTTCCTAATTTACTCAATCTGCCTCTTGCCTTCTCTAGATGCATCCCTTACTTTAAATAAGTTGCCTCAGAATATCTTCTAATATTATTTGAAATTCTAAGAATAAAATTTTCTAATAAAACTAATTCTAAAACTAGTTTCCTGACTGATCATCAATAAGGTCATTCATAAAGTTATTTTTCAATTAAAAAAACTTCCCGCTTTGAAGTGTTTCTGTTATTACTGATATTAAAAATCGGATTCAAGGCGCGAGGGCAAAGTGAGACGAATCTTAAAATTGATAAGAATGAAAAAAGAAACTGAAAAAGTCATCACATCGGCATTTCCAGTGCATTACATGATGATAACATTCGATGATTAATCATTGCTGCTTTCTTCATACCGAAGTTATGTCGAATGAGTTAATAGATTTAATTATGCTTTACGGATCGATTTGTAATCATGTCTTTTTCTTGGTAGTGATTACTATAAATCTGAGGTTGTGCAACACGCTTATTGGTGACTAATTTAAAGAAAATTTTGTTTTTAAGAATTACTGGTGATTTGGAAGTGTTTTTGAAGAAATTTGAACTTCATAATTAAGTCATAAGCATGGCTATTGGGTTGGGTCTATAAAATAGAAACAATTGGGGTTGAAAAAAAATCTTTTGATTTTAAGATGTTTCTAGTAATGGGCTAAATGGCTCGATGGTGGAATGGTTTAGTTCTCCGGTACCTAATTATTGCAATACCGACACAGCGATCAATAGTTCGAGACTGGGTATGGGATATTTTTCACTTGTCCTTTTTCGAATCATATGTACTGGAAGTGAGGCTCATAGCCTTCCTTTGTAAGCTACAGGCAGAAATGTAATCATAGGATTGGTTCAGATCTCACTATAAATTGTAAGTTTAGGTTTGAGTGCAATCATCACTCGTTAAACTCAAAATTAGCTGCGAATCGCCCTAGTGCACCTCTGGATCACAATTGATCTGAATAGAAAAAGGAATTATTAAAACCCAAGCAGATGGAAAATTCTTTGTGGAGGGTATATTCAGAAGCAACTAGACTCAAGTCGACTCAACTTTCCTCTAATCGACTTCATTTTCTCGGGGTCAACTTCGAGTTGACTCGACTTGAATCGACTTATTCATACAAAAAAAAAATTACCGAGTTGACTCCAAGTCGAGTCAAGTTGAACCCTATCAGCCTCGAGCTCCGGTATTTGATTACTTTAGCTTTTTACATCTTCCCTCAATCTTAGCAATACTTGTAATCCAACTTGATGAAAACAAATACTAAGTCAAATTAAATTGTAATTTGCTAGGAAACCGCTAGTCACAACACAAAAAATATTACGATTATCAATTTCTAATTAGTCTTACAAATCATTTAATAAAAACAAAATTATCAAGGGTGATTGAAAGAGCTCACCCCACAGTAAAAATGTGAAGTCACAGAGGAAGTTTTTCTTAATGAAATAAACTTTTATTTGAATTTTTTGAAATAGTTTTGTCAATTTTTGAATTTTGTTTAATTTTTTTCAAATGATTTCTTTCAATTAGCAAGTCAAGAAAATCTTTTTGCAAATTACCAAAACGCTGCTTAATTTAAATTAATTTTGTTTGTCAATATTTGATAAATACTTGTTGGCAACCACTAATTTAACTTCTGTTCTCGATGCTTGCAATTTTGTTTTAATTCATTTGTTTTTTCAATCAATTTCACATTCACAAGTTATCAATTTTGTCTGGAAATTCCCAATATTTGAGGCACTAATTAAACACATAGCAAGTCACAAGAAGAAATCATTCTAAATAATTTGCATTATTTGAGTTTCTGACCTTGGGAATGAATTGATTGAATGGAAATTGTTGAAAATTCTGGACTCTAACTCTAGCCAGAACCATGAGAAGTGTTGTGGTTACTTTCCTTCTGGGTTAAGGCAAATTGAGTGTGATTAAAATATATCAAAACTATTTAAATGAGTCTCAAATCCAGGACAGTAGGGTCAAAGTTGTAATTTTTAAAGACACTGTAGCTGTAGAGCTCTTAACTAGTTACTCATTTAAATTAAAAGTAATTTTTCCTCTCTCAAAAAAAAATATTAATTTCTCAAACAAAATTCAATAAAATTATTGACTGATCCACAAGTCAATCATTCCACAATTCACCACTTCCCAGGTCAGGTAGCAACTCAAAAATAAATTTTGAAATTAAACAAACAAAACATCCTTCAACAAAAAACTGCTAATCACCTTTATTTCATCCACTTATGAGTTCTTATATCTTTTGTAATATTTCTGATTATTATTTTATATTTTTTAATCCCAACAAACTCAACAAAAGGGCTCAAGAACCCCTTTTCACTTTATTAATTTCCAATTAATTTCTTTTATTTTTTATTTTTATTCACTTCACTTTTTCTCGATTGCGCGTCTCGCCGCACGACTGTTCTCTCAAAATAAAATTAAAATCAGAGCTGTGTGTTTTTTTAATAAATCAAAATGATTTTTTTAAAATAAAAATATTTTTTTTGACGATTCTTCTTCTACCGGATCAACTTGTAGCACGTCAACGGACACGATTGCATGCTAAGAATGTCGGGGAAAGACTAAAGTGAATTTGAACAATTTTTCAGTTCCCAACATGATGTTCGGTTTTCCATTCTGTTCCGTAAGAGAGGAACTGATCAGTGAGAAAATTAGGAAATTGAGAGAGCAAAAATTTATGAATGAAAGAATATTTTTTTGTCGTGGCTACTGCTGATGTGATGTATTGTGGCTTAATGACTGCGGTTTTAATGAATGAACAACTTTTTTTTGGTATTTTTTGATTTTCTGGTTTTTTATTCATTTTGAATTTTTTTAATTTTTTTTTGATTCTGGTTATTTTTTTGGTGGTTTTAAGTTATGCTGAATTGTTTTGTGGTGTATGAAGTTTTTAATAGTTATATTTTGTGATTCAATTGCTGATAATGTCGACGGCTAAACATAGTTGAATGAGTCAATTCTTTTGAATAGTTAAGATGCACTCAGGGAGGCGCTGGACTTTTTTGTTTGAAGCAAGGCGTAGTGCATTTGATAAATAATTTTGGGATTATACATTTCCACATTTATTGGTTCTGGGATTTTTTTGGAACTTTGGGAATTTTTAGTATTAATTCTGAGTTCTTACGCTTTGGTTTGAAGGATGTTTCAAAGATTCTCTTGTCTGGTCATCCACATAATCATCAATCAACAATACAATACAATACAATTCATTTTAGTCATTATTTATCATCAAAACAACTAAACAGCTGTGACCAAACCAAGACACAGTTTTAAATCAAAATTTCAAACCTCCAAGCTGTCACAATTCCACAATTCAATGCTACATCTTCAAAACCGCACCACTTTAAATCCATAATAATTTAATAAATTGTTATCTTCAAACATCTTACAATTTTTCAAAACATTAAGTTTAAGTGATGCATATATAGCATCATTAACCTGCCGAAGAATCTTAGCTTTACACCTTCAAGCCATAAAATGAAATCGACCTGAAAGATTTCGAATTGAATATTTTCTTCGAAATAATGGATGGATGAAATGCAGGGGTTAACGAGGGGGTAACATGGGCACAGTCAGTTTTATATTCAAGAAGATTATTTTGACACTTTTTAAAAAGGTTTTCATGTCAACAAGTAGTAAAATAAGATATGGACAATGTAAATTGCACTGCGGCTGGTTGTTGTGGCTTTTTGAGGAACTCTACCGGAAGGAATGAAATTCGATGAACAACAATTTGGGGTGTAAAGAAAACTTAACTGAGACTAAGGTACAGTGTACATGAAGCATCAAAACTGTTCCATAAGTTCAGTCCTATACTGAAGACCTCCTAAATACATCCCTTGATTATCAACTTTGTCTGCAAACTTATTCTGTTAACATTCATGCAAAACATTCATTTTTGCTTATTTTTCTTCTTTTTCTTTTCCTTTGTTTGCTGTTTCTTTAATTCCTCTTTAACTTATGATTCAATTAATTTTGCATTCTATGAAGCTAAGCAGAAACACTCATAAGGGAATAAGGAGAATTTATATTAAGACATTTAGATGATGATATGGTGAGGTAATAACAATAAATGAATTGAAATGAATGAATAAATGGGAAATGAGAAGGAATAATAAAGTACAGACGGTTTTGCAACAGGAAAGAATGTGGCAGTTTAAAGTTGGACAATTTAAATTTTTTAAGATTTTATTTTAATTTTTGGAATTAGTCGAAATTAGAAATCGAAGTCGACTCAAGTCAAGTGGATTCGAGTTGACTCAAGTCAAATTGACTCGAGTAGACTCAAAGCAAATTGGCTCGAGTTGACTCAAGTTAAGAAGACACGAGTTGACTCAAGTTAAGTAGACTCGAGTTGACTCAAGTCAAGTTGATTCGAGTTGCCTAAAGTCAAGTTGACTCGAGGTGACTTGAAAAAAATTAAGTCAACTCGAGAAAAGTCGAGTCAACTCGAGTCAATTCGAACCCTATCAACTTCAAACTCTGGTCAAAATTCTAGAAAATTCTTTCTTTTTAAAAAAGAAAGGTTTTAATAACTTTTTTTTAAAGAATTTTAAAAAAATAACAAAAAACTTTTTTAATTATTTTCTGAGATCGAAGCCGATTTTTTCGGCTTAACTCAATTTTTGATTTTTTTGATAGAAAAAAGCCATTTAACACCCATTTCAAGTATTTAAATTGAACTTTACATGATTTACTATGATTCTGTGTAATATTTTGTGAGCATGTAGCTATAGTAAGCTCAGAATTTCAATTTAGCCGATTTTAAGCCGATCGGTTTAAAAAATCGATTTAAACTTATTTTAAAAAAATTTAAGAAAAATTCAAAGGTTAGAAAAGTCCAAGTTTCAACATTTTAAAACACAATTTGATAAATATTCACAAATAACAGTTCAGCTCAACTATATTCCAGGAAGTCAGTCATTTTACTACTTGAACATTCAAATCAATTTTATTAGAATTTATCATTATTCAGTCTCTGAAATGCCTCGCGGATTGCACTTTCCTGTAAATTCATTTCATGAATAATTCTTGTTAAAAACTTTTTTTTAAAAAATTTCTTCTTTTTTTCTAATCAACATTTAAATGATTTACTTTGCCTAAAGTGGTTTAATTTTATATGCACAGTTAAACTTGCTGAACTCTTGACTTACTTATCGTTGTAATTTTGCATTCATAATTTCATAATAGGCACACCTTAGTTAGATAACTGAAGGGGATAATGAGAAATTATAAACAATAAAGACATTAAGTTGATTGAACTGATGCTGTGGATTAAAGAAACTTAAATAACTTATTAAATTGAAAATTGGAGTTTTAACGTTTTATTAAATTAAGAAAATTCAAAAAAAAATTCAAAAAAGTCAAAAAAGTTAAAAGAAGTTGAAAAAAACAATCAAAAAAATTCAAAAAAGCTTAAAAAGTCAAAAATTAATTTTTTTTAAATGTTGAAAACCTTGAAAATTTAAAAAGCAGTTTAATAAAAACAACAAATTTTTGATTGATTACTTTTTAATATAATCTGAAAATTTAAATTTAAATTTATTCATATGCCACACATCAAAATCGTTTATAATAGCCGACAATATTGGCATGAAAAAAAAAAAGTTTCAAAATATTTCATTGATGACAATTTCTTTCCTCTGCATCATCCACATGCTGCTCATATCTCATAACATTCAGAGTCATTAAAATTGCACCATAATATTCAAAAATGCAAATCCCAACTTTCAACAACAATGACTGAAGATTTTTTTGAAAAAGGCATAATCAGCATAAATTATGAATCGTAAATCATCGCAGGAGAAATGGAAATGAAAACAAAAAGGTTTGTTGATTTTACGAATCCTACGCAAATTTTTTAATGCTTTTCAATTCTTGGGAATTCCTATCATTTGCAAGATGATGAATGAAAATTACTTGAATAAGTGTCAATGAATTGTTATTGTGAATGGATTGAATGTAATTATGGTAAGATTTTTTAGGTTATGTTAAAAAGTGAAATTTTTATTGTTTTTCTTTTAAAATAATTTTTTATATTTTTTGGGAGTATTAAGACCTAGTTTGGCTGTCGTAACCTACTTTTCCTTTTCATAACCTTAAAACTATAAGCAGTTGAGGGTATCATCAAGACACAGGGACTAAATATGTTCATATTCAACCTCATCATCTTCAGTAAAGCAGATTCTAGCAATTCTAATAACTAGCTACCATTTATTAAACTGAAAACAGTCATTAAGTCACAATTTACACAACAAAGCATAGCCAACACAGTTCATTCATCTTTTATTATCAATTCTTCCCATCGTTGTGTTAACTTTACGACTTTGATGCAATAAATTGAAGCCTTTTGCGTGCTCTCATCATTTATTCTGTTCCATGCTCGATCATAAAAATTGTCTTTGTCTTGATTCTTATTTTTTTGGCATGCTGCTTTACTTTTTTTATTGGATAGTACTAAAAGATATGGGTCGTTGAGTTGTGGCAGTTATTTAGATTAATATTGAATTTATTGGGCGATTTGAAGAAGATAAAGGAAGTTGCTCGAAATGTATAATCTAGGGTCGTTTTTTAAAACAGTCAAGTGAGCTAAGTTGCATCACGAATGAACTACAAGAGACCTAAGGGTGCGGAACGGATGAAATGATCAAAAATGATCAAAATGTAATTTTCAAGGCGTGGAAACTCAGGATTAATCCTGAAAAATCCCAAAAAATTCTTAAAAAATCTCTGAGCCCATAAACATGAACATCTTTTTAAATCCCTTGATGCATTTATCAAGAATCCGGGATTTAAAAGGGATTTAACTTTTCATTTTTATTGGCTCAGGGATTGTTTTTTTGGATTTTTGGGATTTCTCAAGATTAATCCTGAGTTTCCACGTCTTGGTAATTTATCAGTTCCGCACCCTTGAATAGACAGATATAACATTTATCAGATGCCAAAAAGTGCTCCATGCTGCTCTAGAAAACAGTCTCTACTCTAAAAATAGTTTCTAGGGAATGTCACAAAAAAGGTTGGGTTCAGGAATAAGGAGCTCGTTAGAATTAAATAGAGAGATGGGATATTTTTCTTATAAAGTCTTAAACTTTGCTTATGTCTATGCATAAATAACGTCCAGCAATAATTTATAGCTACGCACATTTGCAGCACAACAGTAGCAATGCCCATGAAAACTGTGAAAAAACCAAAATTCAAAACTATATGACATAAAATAACGGCACAAATATCTATTTTATAATTTCAATCGCATAATTAAGAGTTTATTTCCAATTTGCTTACAAATTGCTTTATTTATTTCATACCAAGTGAATTGAATTGGTGCAATTTTAATTAATTTCAAATTGATTTGCAGAAATGCAAAGTTAATTGCTAAGCACTCAACATGTGGCTTGGTAAAATCAAAGGAATCGATTATTAACTTGTATTCACTATAAAAGGGTTTGAAGTTATTAACCAATCTACTTCAGACAACATGCTGTGAAAAGTGAAGATTGAAATGAAAACTCGACCACCGGGAGCCTTTTATTGAGCGAATATTATTTTCAAAATCAACAGATAATTAAATTTTATTTATTGATTAATTTTTAATATTTGTTTGATTTTTAAATAGTTATAAATACTTTAAATATTTTTAAAATTTTAATTTTTTTAAATTCTCAATTTTTTTAAAATTTTAAATCAACTTTTCTTCTCTTTCAAAAAACCAACAAAATTGCTGCTACAAATTCACTTTTAATCCATAAAAATAAAAAATCTTCCAAGAAATTGCTCACGTGCCGTGACTAATTGTGATTGGCAGTTTTGAAGAGCTGCTCATAAATGATGCAAAGCAAACAGTCAACAACATAAATCAATCACTTTCTTTGTTATTTTAACATGATGCTACACAAAAAGGATCCAAAAAGGACATCAAAATTTTATGTTCAAATGTATCAGTTTACTGGTGCATCTTGAAATGTTTAAGATAGTATTTTTCAGGAATGCTAAACATAATAATTTATTGCTTAGTTTATTTTTTGCCAAATTTGTCATTATTTTTTGTTTTTTTGTTAAAAAAATTGGACAAACAATTGAAAATTCCAGCTCGAATCGTGAAATAATAAACTATCTCAACAAATGATAAAAGAGAAGCTCCGACTGCAAATAAATTGAGAACTGAAGATTGTTAAATTCAAAAATTATGTGGAAAACTTACCGAAAAATCCTGTTGATCCACCAATCGACACTAAAATCAGATCAAAAATAATGTCAAATTATTAAAAACTAGTGCACTAGTTTTGTCTCACCAACAAGATCCAGTTTTCCTCTCACCACGTTCCTTTTGAATCTTTCAGTCGGCAAAAATGCAATAGACAGCTCAATTATTGAATATGGATCAACATTTGGGTCAAAAATGTTGTCACGGACTTCGTGGACCTAGAAAAGATAAAAATAATAATTTGAACTCAAATCAATCTATTTATCTTAAGCTGGGATCCATTGACTATGTTGGCTACCAATCAGCGATTTTTGGTTGGATGATTAATAGCTAGGCAGTTCCAAGAGTTGTTCAAGTGAGGTAATAACCCAAAAACTCACCATAACAAGATCAATCTCATTGCAGCTCGGCATGCAGTTACACACAACTCCCCTCTTCTTCCTATTTCTTGACCACGGTGCAATCACAATTGATAGATCTTCATAATGCTCATTCAGACAAACTAGTCCATCTATGTCACAATGGATACTGACCTAAAATAGAAAAAAGTATTCGAAAATATTTCTAATCACTCGACATGATCAACTTACATTCGTGTTAGGCATTACGTGAGAGTTACAGCTGCAATATCTGATTTGTTCATCCTTACGACATTGAGCAGAGCAAGCGCTGAAACTATAATATTTGTGGACATCTAAATAGTTTTCGTCTGGAAATCGACATTTTCTCTGTTCGATGCTTACATCTCTGGCTTCAATGTCATTTTCGACGTTCTTAATTGAAAGTTGGCGTCTGAAATGAGATTTATTGTATGATTTGACAATAAGTTAATTTCTAGGGATGCACGAGATGCCCTGACATTGTCCAAGTCATACTGGTGATGAATTGATTAAATTTGACCTTTTTCAAAACTTACTTGTAATTAATGAACTGATCAATCTGCAGAATATCCGTCTTTGGTGTCACTAGGTTAGGAACTTCATAGGTGCCAATTGTGTACAGAAATGACTCAGTTAAGACTTTGATCTTTAACACTCCGGGTCCTATAAAAGATATTAGAGTTAATGATATTCATTCTTATCCTCAATGGTTTCCAATCGTCGTGTCTTAACCAGAGCTCGAAGTCGATAGGATTCGAGTCGACTCGAGTCAACTCAGTAATTTTTTTTGAATGAAGAAGTCAACTTCGAGCTCTGGTCTAAACTTTTTCTATATGATTAAATAAATAACATTAAACTCACCAACATATCGATTAGACATCATATTCAACTGCGTATAATTCTTAGGCTTTATCGATTGTGCTGAGTTTAAAGAAAAGCATTCTCCAATTTCAGTTCCGATTGGAATGAAATGTTTGCAGCAATCAAAGTGAACATCATTCCATGTACATTCAGCTATAGAGTTTTCACAGCTGCTTCGAACAAGAGCTGCATAGTGCGAGTAGTTTCCAAGGATGCACTTGAGGTTGATGTTCTCAACTTCTCCTGTACACTGGGGATATTAAATATATTTAATTATATTCAAACCGTTTTCACTTGTGAATCTATTGGTTTTGTTCAGATTGAAAAATCAGTTTTTCGCATTTTGTAAAAAAACGAAGCAAAATTGGCTATAAAAGGTCCTAGAAGAAAAGTTTGTGCCTGAAATTTTACATCATTTTCAAAAAACAGATTTCAAATTGGTTGTGGCATTGCTGAGAAAATCGCAAAATACGCTTTCTGTAAGCAAACAAGCAAGCAAGCAAGCAAGTTAATCAGCAAGAAATCTCAATAACGAGACATCGTAGAGAATTCTAGTTTTTTACATTTGATCCGTGCTGCTCTATAGAAGAGCCGTATTGTTTTTGGGCAAGGTAGGAACAGACGTTGCTTCAGAAAAAGCAAAAAACTTTCCTTTCTTACGAATTTTTCAAATTAAAAGTTCACTGTGATTTTTTTTTATTTTAAATTAAACTTGGGATGAAAAAAATTTTTTTGAGCAAAGAACCAAGAAGGAAATACATTTTCAATTTTGGACTAGGTGCGACCCTAGTCAAAATCAATTTTGTCACTTTTTTCTTCGAGGGTTTATTCAAATGGATTCAAACTTTGCATAAATATTTAAATGCTTAAAACAAATACAAATAAAACATCCTAAAATTTTTTTGAGCAAAGAACCAAGAAGGAAATACATTTTCAATTTTGGACTAGGGGCGACCCTAGTCAAAATCAATTTTGTCACTTTTTTCTTCGAGGGTTTATTCAAATGGATTCAAACTTTGCATAAATATTTAAATGCTTAAAACAAATACAAATAAAACATCCTAAAATTTTTTTGAGCAAAGAACCAAGAAGGAAATACATTTTCAATTTTGGACTAGGGGCGACCCTAGTCAAAATCAATTTTGTCAATTTTTTCTTCGAAGGTTTATCCAAATGGATTGAAACTTTTTATAAATATTTTAGTGCTTAAAACAAAACAAATAAAACATCCTATAATTTTTTTGAGCAAAGAACCAAGAAAGAAATACATTTTCAATTTTGGATTAGGGGCGACCCTAGTCAAAATCTAGTTTTTCACTTTTTTTCTTCAAAGGTTTATCCAATTACAGTAAAACTTTGTGTGAGTATACTAATATTTATACAAAACAGTTTTAAATATCTAAAGCAAGAAATGTATTCTATATGTCGTCAGACCCAAATTTTATAAATTTGGTTCTACATATAAAAACAACGTGACCAAAAAATTTTTCCAAAAAACGATTTTTATTAATTCAGAAATGTGTGACCTGAGGATTAGAATGCTCATACAAAGTTTTACTGTATTTGGATTTATCCTCGAAGGGAAAAAAGTGAAAAACGAGATTTTGACAAGACCTGTCCCAAGTTCATAATTAAAAATGTATTTCTACTTGGTTCTTTAATCAAAAAAATTTTTTGGAGGTTTTATTTGAATTGACATAATTCTGACATAAATCACATACCAATATTACTTTTTGTAATGCATAGCTTAAAAAAAATCGAAATCTAAAATTTCGACTACCCCATCTGAATTTTGTTCATACTCTTCAATGTGGAAACCAAAAAACAAATTCTTTATCTTAATACACTTGACAAAATAGCGACATAATTCAGGATTAATTACTTTTTAATAATATTTTAACATTTACGGATAAATGTGGTTCAAATGAGTGTGAAGTATGGCCGAGATTTGAACCAAAATCAGCTATACTGGTTCATAGTGTTTCCGAGGGTGACAAAATTCAAACTTAGTGTTTTTGTAGCTGACATAATTATGACATAAATTAGGGATAACTTTTGAACTGTGTCGATATGGGTCTCGGTCGTACTTCACGCCCACCCTTCAAACTTATGCTGAGCAAATCTTGGTCTATCCATAAGACTTTTGATGGTACGGCGTGAATATATCCACATTGGGTTTCTACCCGATACACTTGTTAATTTAAGATTTGCTTTAACTTCTCTGAAAAGCTAGTTAAATGACTGAAGTTCGAGATCTTAATTTTGAAAATTCAGTTACGTTACGTAGTCATATGCGAGTTGCCTACCTCATGGATCGTATGATAGGATTCGCCTCGAAAGTATGCAATCTCGCTTAGTACTTCTTCCAATGTAAAATCATGATCTTCACCAAAAATTCGGTCTGCAGCTTCCTGAACTCGATCCATGTTCTTATTTTCACATAGAAATACTGCAGGAAAATCTGTGTCCCAGTCACGATAAGAGCTCTCGACGACAAAACTAATTGCTGAAAATAGTCAAGCAATTATTGAAAATGAAAAGCAGTTGAATATCCCAAAAGAGACTTGCCACTATTATTAAATGCATCCAATGAAGCCAAAATCAGAAACACTGACCCAACCCACGATAAAATAATGCATACTGTCCAGAAAAGTCTCTCATAAAATGAATATTTTTCCTTGTCCACGACATACTTTGCACCATGCAATGAACTTTGAAGCATGTACTCTTGAAATATTCCCATTTTAGCTTAATCCTTTATTATGTCACTGGTTGAAAGCTAATCACAAAACTTACTGTGTTTTGAATTGAAGAGAAATTGAATATTTATAGATGATTGATTAAGATCAGTTGGATGTATTGTTCGTAATTAATTCATTCGTGATATGTTATTGTGGAAAAGTTCACATAATGATATTCAGATTATGGGAAAAATAGCATTTGATGTTTATTGATTTTGATGGTTGATTCGGAAGTTATTGTAGATTGTTGTAAACTTTTCTTGACATTTATTATGACATCCATGAGCTTAGTGTGTGGGTATAGCTGGAAGAGCATATCATTAGCAGATAGGCCTAAGTATAGGGCTCGCTTTGAGACTGGTTATATGTGTATGACGAATAGCAGAAGTGCGATAAGTACCTCAGTGGCCGAGTAGCAGGGATCTCTGATCGAGTGGTCAGAGATCTTCTCTTTTGAGGTTGTGGGCTCATTTTCCAACTATCTAATTTGATCATAAAACTTCAAAGGGACGAGTTGCTTGAGTATAATAGCTTCACTTGAGGATTTATCTTGAAGTTTTCATCAGGAGGAGGATGAAACACATTTCCTACAAATTAAGGCCATCATGAGACAAAGCTTAATATTAAGCTTGAGATACTCTTGATGCGCTGTTCAGGAATATACACAAAACACTTTTTCTTGGTCCTCGTCAAGAATTTAAAACAAAATAGTGAGTTTCAAGACCAATTCAAGTATACAAGACGACTTTTCTTACATGATCTACAAGTTGCGAAGAACAATGACTGTCAAATAATTAATGACATTACCAGAGAAGCTACATCACACTCTTCAATCTTATCGAAACAACTTGCATCATTTTATCTTTAATTAAATCACAAAGGAAGATTCCTTTTTGTTAAGATAGCTATCTTAAGTCCTCTTTTTATTGATAACTGCTTTTTCATTTCTTCTTGCCGAAAATACATCGTATCATTTAATTTTGTTTTCCTCCATTGCATTATAGTAATTCATAAAATTCATTAACCTATCTCAAGAGTATCAACTATGCTTACTATGACATTATAGTCGATAAGATAAAGTTTTACTATAAAAAAATAGACAAGAAATATTTTGAGTCTATTCATAGCTAAAAGTTCATAGAAAAAGCGATGAAGGTTTTCGTTTTTGCATTTCTTGCTTTGACAGCAGTCAGTGCCTTCCGTTTGGAACCAACATACGAAAGAGAAGGTGGACGTACACCATGGAGTGAAAGACAGTACATTGGACCATCTCCATTCATTGTTCGTGGTGATCCAGCTGATATCTCTGAGTTCCCACACATGCTTGTGTTGCTTGACTTGACACGCGGTAGGTTTTGTCTGTTTTGAGGTTATAAAATCTTAAAATTTTGAATAATACTGTTTAGGTGGTTTTATCTGCGGTGCATCGGCTATCAGCTCAAGATGGTCACTTACAGCTGCTCATTGTCTCGAACGTAATACTCCAGCTCAACAAATTCAACTTCGTGGTGGATCAACAAACAGAAACACTGGTGGATTCATCTTTCAGGCACAATCATATGCTCTTCATCCACAATACAATTCCCGTACACTCGCTAATGATGTTGCTGCTATCAATGTCCAAGCTGCAACGCCCATTCAAGGATTAAATGTTGCTCATGCTCGCCTTCCAGGAAATTGCGCAACAGCTTGCTGTACAACTTGTGATCCTGATAATGTTATTGTTAAGGGATGGGGACGTGATGAAAATGGACAATTCCCATTGCTCTTGCGTCAACTTACAGCTCCAATTCACAATCATGCTGATTGCGGTCGTTTGTGGACCAACATTGGATCAAACTTCTTCTGTAAATCTGTTATCAATGGAGCTGACTCTTGCAATGGTAAGTTGACTAACTGAAAGGCTTTGAAAAAATTTAAAAGTTTGGGGATAGTCCTAAAATTACGGAGCACTTGAAAATTATTGTTCTCAATCAATACGAATCTATATTGCTACGTAACTTATGAATGAATCCTTAAATTCTAGATTGAAATTTTTTGATATAAAAATTAAACTTGTTCTTAGGCGACTCTGGCTCACCATTGGTTCGTGCTGATGATCGTTCTCTCCAAGTTGGTCTTGTCAGGTAAGTTCAATTATAAAACATGTTTATAAGATGATAATGGTGTAAGGGGATAACAACATGATGAGAGCTTGGTGAAATAAAATCTTATCTTCCTTTTAAAATCTAGTTTTGGAACAAGTGTCTGCGGTGATGGAACCAGACCAAGTGTTAACGTTCGTATTGAAGACCCTGTTGTGAGAAACTGGATCAGATCCTTCACACAAATTTAAAAATTGAGGCTTGAACTGTGATAATGAAAACAACGAATTATTTTAACTTTGAGTACAAATTTGCTGGCTATTTGGTCATGGAATTTGAGATTTTGTTTTTTGTTATGCTTAATATTGATTGGAAATAAACTGTTTTGAATTATCTGTTGCAAAATTAAAACATATTTCATTTAAGATGTAGGCGCGTAGCCAGGAGGGTCTTGTCCCCCTGTTAAGCGTTTTAGGCCGTACTCTTGCTGCGGTTCAAAACGTTTAAAGGGGGACAAGACCTTCCTGGCTACGCGCCTGCTAAGAGCAAACTTGATTCATGCTGTGAAAATTCGTAAGGTTCAAACATCACAAAGCAGAACAGTCAGGCAATGATTTCATTTAATAACACTCAAAACCAAACATTTTTTTAGCAACGTCACGCCAAAAAAACCCACAAAAATTGGTAATTATCAACTTTCAAGAACCGAAACAATCGATATCTTAATGTTATTAATCTTTTCTTTGTTTATTGTATCGTCTCAAAACTTAAACCCACCAAAAATAGTCAGCTATCAGAAGCCAACTGATTGCTGTAATCTCTACGCAGCTACTATCTTTAAGTGCTTTGTTACTTTAATTTGATTAGTCAATAAAACTCAAGTCATTTTGGATTGGGATTTTCAGTCATTTCCAAAACTTTGGACGGAACAGAAATGAAATTTTTGGTACTTCTTGCTGTTGCATTTTTAGCTACTGCTACCCATGGCAGATATGTCGAGAAGGAGTTGGTAGCTACACCATGGATGGACAGAGTTTGGCTTGATGAGAGAGAAGCTAGAATTTTCAGAGGAGAACCAGGCAAGTTGTTAGTGTTTAAAGTGTTTAATTGGAATTAATATGAGGATTTTAATAGCTGAGATTGCTGACTTTCCATACCAACTTGCTTATCTTGATTTGACACGTGGTGGTTTCCGTTGTGGGGCATCTGCAATTGGTCAACACTGGTCTTTGACAGCTGCTCGTAAGTACAATCAAATATGTTTTTTCTTGTGACTTAATTCACTTGCAACCTTCTTCAGACTGTCTTCAAACCAACACACCTCCTGTTTCACTCCAACTTCGTGGTGGATCAACCAACCGCAACACTGGAGGTTTCCTTTTCAATGTTCAGGCTTACTGGATGCATCCAAGCTACAATACCCGTCTTGAATATGACATCGGTATCATGAGAACACCTGACAGCTCACCAATCGTTGGTACACATGTTGCACACATTCCATTGCCACCAATCTGCCCAGACACAGAAATCTGCTGTGGAGTTTGTGCTGGAGTTTCTGTGAGTATTGTGATGGGTTTTGTTTGGATGTTAAGTGGGACATCCTTAAGCCAGACTTAATCCTTACAACGGCTAATTGATAAAACTAATTCAAGTCATTCCATTTTTAATCTACAGATGCTTGTAACTGGATGGGGTGTAAGTATAAATATAAATTATTTCATTTGTTATTTATTAATCATGTTTAAAATTTACAGTCAACAGAAACTGGATCAACAACAACATTGAGACAACTCACAGCTCCAGTTCATGAATGGAATGACTGTATGAGAATTTGGAACAGAAATGGACCAAGTTTCGTCTGCAAGGCTGTTATTGATGGACGTGATACTGTAAGTTTAATATATTTGAGAGCTCCAAAACTAAGTTTTACTAATGTTGTACATTTTACAGTGCGGTGGTGACTCTGGAAGTCCACTCGTAACTGGAACTGGAGCCAATAGAGTTCAAGTTGCTCTCGTCAGTTTCGGAACTTCAGTCTGTGGATCTGGATCACCATCAGTCAACATCAGAATTGAACATGGCGGTGTAAGAAACTGGATCACATCACACAGTGGAATCTAAGATGACAGTTTTTGGAAGATTAAACCATAAATTTACTAGATCTAATTTTATAGATTTGTAGATATTATAAATAATGGCAAAAATAAATGTTATTGACAATGTTGTTATGAAAATCTTTGGTTGTGTTTCGTAGCGATTACAGCGATGTTTTTATGGTTTGGTCTTCTTTAGCCCATTCGACTTTTCACATAGCTCAGACATACACTACAAGCGAGGATGTAACAAAGAAATTGAGTTTCAGGAGTTGATTTCAAGGACCATCAATGCTTACCTAATCCAAAACAAATTTAATTTAAAACCCAGACTGTATTTCATCAGTTTTCGATACTTTGATAGTCACAGAAACCATCCACTGAAATTTCAAACATTACTGTAGCATTGTCCTTAATAAAGATGGTTCCATCTGACTCAGTAAACATCCAGGAGTTGATTATGTTGATAGTGTTCTCAAGTATATCAATTAGCACCTTTATTCACATTTACACCAAAAACTTCAAAAATCTAGAAATAAACTCTTATCAGAAAGCTACTTGATAGTACTAATCTCCATATCATAAGTACGTTACAATCAACTTTAATTGATTTATTATTTTGCTACCAAAACTTTCATAAAATTAAATAAATTTTACGTTGAGCTTTTCAGTCATTTCAAAAACATTGAACGTTGCGGAAATGAAATTTTTGGTCTTCGTTGGTTTATTATTTTTGGCTACTGCCAATGGCCGATTTGTTCAGGATGAACTAGTGCCAACAAAATGGATGGACAGAATCATTCCTGATGATGGAAATGAGAGGATTTTTGGTGGTGAACCAGGTAAACTTAAGGACTATAGTCTTACTATTAAATTGTGCTAAGAATGTGAGCTTCCCCTTAGATGAGTGGACACCAACTTTTAATAATGACTCTCTAGATCAGTGTTGTCCATACTTTTTACAGCCATGGTACACTTTGACTTTTGATATTTTTCACGGTACATCTAAGAATGTCCTCCGGTACACCAGTGTGCCACGACACACAGTTTGGACAATACTGCTCTAGATATAGGATGTCAGCAACTGAATTGCATCTTTTGGCAGACATAACAACTAAAACTTTCAGAAAATTTTGATTAATCTTTGATTTTTTCTTTCTTAAAGCTGAAATTGCTGACTTTCCATACATGATTGCCTACCTTGATTTAACTCGTGGTGGTAAGTGTCAATTTGTCAAACATTCTTGATATTTCGCTAATATTGAACTCTAATCAACTTAGGATTCCGCTGTGGTTCATCGGCAATTGGTCTTCATTGGGTATTAACTGCTGCTCGTAAGTTCCTTTACTCTTACTTTATATATTCAAACTTAAATCTCTCTAAATAAATTACACAGACTGCTTGGAAATCATGACACCCGTCAATCAACTTCAACTTCGTGGTGGTTCAACAATGCGCAATACTGGAGGTGTTATTTTCAGCGTTCAGGCTTACTGGATGCATCCAAGCTACAATACACGTCTTGAGTATGACATTGGTCTTGTTCGAACTCCCGATAATCATCCAATTGTTGGCACAAACATTGCTTTCATTCCATTGGCAGGAATTTGTCCTGACACTCAAGTTTGTTGCGATGTTTGTGACGGAGTTTCAGTAAGTTTGTGGTGAAATTGATTTAAAAAATTTAAAATATATTAATTGAGATTTATTTTTTATAGTTGCTTGTTTCTGGTAAGTTTGTGTTAACCTAGCCCATTATTATTATGCTAAAAAACTGTTTTTATGATTTTGGTAATTTTTATGATTATTCTTCCTTCACAATCTAACTTGGAACTATAGGATGGGGTGTAAGTATATAAATTAATCTTTCATATTGCTTGACCAGCATCCTTAAATTATTTTAGCGAACACCAGAAGGCTCGACAAATTCATTAAACCAACTTACAGCACCAGTCCATGAATGGAATGACTGTATGAGAATTTGGAACAGAAATGGACCAAGTTTTGTCTGTAAGGCTGTTATTGATGGACGTGATACTGTAAGAACTTATATTTTATGCTTAAAATCAACTAATTTGAATCTATTATTAAATCTTCAGTGCAGTGGTGATTCTGGAAGTCCATTGGTAATTGGAACAGGAGCAAATCGAGTTCAAGTCGCTGTTGTCAGCTTTGGAACCTCAGTAAGTACTTTAAATTAATTTATTGATGAATCATAAAATAAAAAGATTTTTATGTAGGTATGTGGATCAGGATCACCATCAGTCAACATTAGAGTTGAGCATGGACCAGTCAGAAACTGGATAACATCTCTCAGTGGAATCTAAACTTAGAGTTGCTTAGGATCATTATTGAAAGTTTATTGTGATTGACAATTTATGAGATTAAAATAAACTTGATTGCCACTTGAAATATTTTAATGACTGAAATTTCCATTGAGTGTAGCTAAAAATGGTTGCGATAAGAAAGTGTGTGAAAGTGATTAATTATGGAATGTTCAGAGATTGAAAATGGTACTAAGGAGGGGCCAGTCTCAAAGGATTGACCGAAATTCGACTTAAAATTCGGTTATATTTTGGTTCAACCGAATTACGGTTGACCGAAATTAGGATAGAATTCGGTTGAATTTTTTTATTACCAAATTTGGGGTCCTATAACTAGTTGGTCCTAAAGGTGTTCATCAGGGTATATCAAGCAAGTGGCCCTTGATTGTAATTCAAGTCGTTGAACTTGGTAACAAATTTTATCGGTGCTGATCAATGTTACATAGAAGCCTGTTACATACTATACCACATTACTTACTAGAATATAATTTTACGTCACGTGATCAACTAATGGCTGTAATAATTAATTCAATTAAAATAAATTAAGTAATCAAAATGTATAATTGCTGATTTGAAATTAGATAATTATTTGAACTGTATATAAGTTCATCAATTGAAAGCATATCCAAATAGTTAAGTGACCGCTATAGGACCTCATCTAGTAGCTATGAAGCTACTTATTCAAACTGTTCTCATATTTTTGTTGGCTGCTTGTTCTTTAGAAATAGATTTAAAGGTTCTGAGCATGGATAAATGTTATGGAAATGAGAAATATTTGGTCATTAAAAAATGTGAGATTCTGGATGACAACTTGTTTGAGGTCAAAGCTTACCTTGTATCTCATGTTGACTCTATTATTGTAAGTTTGCCACTTTTTAATTCAAATCAAGAGCACAAAGCAAGTTAAGATTTTGGATGAAACTGAATCAGCTTTAGCTAGCTTATCTATACAAAATCTTAGTCAGACTCAAATTTAATCTCTTATTTCAGTTCAAACCGCGTATCTCAAAACTCGACAAAAACAAAAAGTTCCGTGAGATATTCAAAAATGCTCCAGCAATCGATTGGTGTAAAATTGCAGATAAAAATTCAAGACTTCCATCAAATCCACTGACAGCAATCGCAGTCATGCTCGTTAAGTCAAAATTTCCAGAACTTCAAAAGCCATGTCCATGGGATCCATTCCCAATTGAGCATGGAAACTTAACGATTGGATATAGAGTTCTTGCAATAATTCCCAATGGAATTTATAAGGCAGTTCTTATTGCTGAAAATAAGGAAGGAGAAAATTATGCTGACGTGGCTTTTACTTTTGAAATATATTAACTAAATTGATGAATTTAATATCTTAAAGACAATTTTATGCTGACAATCTTTTTAGTAATGAAAAAAAAATTAAATTTTTTTTTTTGATCCTTAAAATAAACTTTGTTTGAATCTAAATGATATTAAACATCTAATTGAACATCAACTGACTTTGACAAATTATAGCAACTTTATATCAATGCGGATATTTTGACCATCTGCCCATTGTCTTTAGCTATTTTGAGAAATGGTTTTTATAAACTTGTAAAACTTCAAATGGTTGGAAAAAGAACAGAAATTTTAGCGCTTTGCATAAAATTTGGTCTTTATGAAAATGTTTTTGACTGTTTTTTGGTGCTCAGATTTAAATCCTTGTTTAACTTAACGTCTTGCTACTTTCCTGATTGTAACAGACAAAGCTATTGTGATGTCGGCACTGAGTAGAATCTGAGATATCAGGCAATATAAAGTCGAATTTGTAAGTGAAAAGGTAAGGCCTCTGTGATTGAGGTTTTTAAGAAACAGCCCGGAATATGTTACCTATTAAATTAAGTGTTGTCCAAATTTTTTGAGCCACGGCACACCTTAGAGGTAAGCCATGACCAAATTCGCAAACAGAATGCGAATCGTGTCATTTTCAAAAATTTTCTACGGCACACCAGTTTGCCGCGGCAAATAGTTTGAACAACACTGCATTAAATAGAGTGTTTTGTTAAAATGTAAAAAATTTGAACAATGCTCCTGACATTACAGCACTGATTAACAAGCTCTGACGCAAACATGGGTTTAAAATTAACTTTATTTTGACACGTCATGTTTCCATTTCCTGATCTAAAATTTTAGCTTCAATAAAAATAATTTAATAATAAATTTTTTGAAATAATTTTAATTCAACAGACGTAATTGTTAATGACCCCTAATCACATTTATTTCCGAATTTAATTAAAAATAAAACATTAATTTTTTTGGCAAATATAGATTAAATTTTGCAAGCATATAAATATAGCTAGTTGAAAATTTAACTTTAGAAAGCTCTTCAAACCTTCTAGTGAGGTTTAAGCAATGAAGCTTCACCATGTTTCACTTTTCATGCTTTTAGTGGTAATTGAAACTTTTGGAATTGAGCTGAAAATTCTATATTTAGAAAAGTGTTATGGCAATGAGAAGTTTATTGTGATTAGAACCTGCGAAATTCTTAATAAGACAATGTTTGACATCAGAGCTTATATTGTGACACATGTTGACTCGATTATTGTAAGTAATTTTGACTTATTTTGTGGATTTCTTAGAGCTCAAGTAGATTAGTGGCAACTGTCATTATTGAGGTTTTCAATCGTATGACTGAAATGTGTATAATCTGGGATCAAACCTTGGATTCATTACTTTTTCATCCGGGATTGAAAACTCTAGTCATTTTTCTTGCAATACATAAAGCTTACAGCTATCGATCTTAGGGTCTGAACTATTGTTTTACAACTTTAACTGTATAATTGATCACTATATTAATGCAAGGAAATTTCAGGGATGTGGTAGTGCCTTCAAAGCTCCAATACTATTGTCTAAATGTTAAAAATAAAGTGTGCTGCTCAGGATAATTTATACAGTTTTAGTGCTCCAAATTTTATATTTTCACTCAGGTTCCGTTTGAAACTGAACATAAACTAAAATAAATTAACCATAAAATATTCCAGTTCAAACCTCGCGGCTTCATTCAGGACAAGAACAAAAAGTTCCGAGAAGTATTCAAAAATACAGCAATAAATTGGTGCAAGCTTGTCAATGGAAACTACAAATTATCCCAAAATCCAATAATAACAATTGCAGTCATGCTGCTCAAGAATAAATTCCCAGAATTATACAAACCATGTCCATGGGAGCCATACTCTATTGAGCATAAAAACTTAAGTCTTGGATACAAGTTTTTGACAATCATACCGAATGGAATTTATAAAGCAATATTCATAGCTGAGAGTTTTGAGGGAGAAGTTTATGCTGAAGTAATTTTTGCATTTGAAGTGTTTTAAGATTTTTTTGTGAAAACTTTTAAAACTTTATTTGTGGATGAAAAAGGTAAAAAATTGAATCAGTGCAGTTAAAATTAAAAAAGTAAATTATTTGTCAAATCATTCAAGAAAATAAAATTAACGATTTTTTCACAGTCAAACTTTTCGTCTGTATTGCAATTGCGTAGTATTTAAAGGCAACACTCACAATAAGCACTAATTTGATAACAACTCAACTTTAGAACTTTACCGATTAAATTAAAGTCATAATAGATAATTGTGTCATTGTCAGCTTTACAACCATCAAGACTAATCATTCAGAATAAATTTATATCCCGTCAATTCCCGCAAATCTGTTAGAACCACAAGAAAACTCAGTCATCACAAAAATGAGTCACGAAAATTTGTCAATCTTCCCGCAAGAAATTTTAATACACATTTTTTCCTACTTACCATCATCTGACTTGATATCCCTTAGTGAGACATGCGCTTCATTCCACTGTGCGATCAACAGCTGCAATGCTTTGATGAGAAAATTCAAAATTTTCATATTTGATCATAAAAAAAGCTTCGAATGGACACCGACGAGGAAATATATTAAAATATCAATCGACAGTCAAAGTTTTGAGGATTATTTGAAGATTTTTGAGTATGTTGGAAGTGATTTAGAGGTTTTGGAGATCCGATACAGCTCATTTGACTTGAAAGTTTTGAGGGAGATTTTGCTGATGTGCGAAAATGTCAAGGAAATTTACATACAAGCTATAAGTCTGACTGTCTACCTCTCAGATCCGATTGAGCCAATGCCAAGTTTGACATTAAAGAAATTTTTCTTCCTGAACCTCGAACCTGAATCTATTGATGTCTTGAAGATCTTCCATAATTCATCAATAGCTGACGTGGAAATGATTGGCAATTTTAAGCGTCCACAGATCCTCAAGACATTTTTATCATCCCAAACTGACCTAAAGAAATTCCACCTTCACAACAAACTTGATGTGCTTCTTTTATTTGATGACAATTCACTATCAAATCCAAGCTTCAAGCTTCAGAGTCTGAAACTTGACAACTTCGACCTTTACACACAACTTCCATTTTTCAGCAATTTCATTCGCAGTCAATCAGAATCTTTAGAAATCTTCGAGACAAATCAATGGAAAGTTTTCAATTTGTTGGGAAATTTAAAAAACCTAAAGACTGTGACAATTCCATCTATGAGATTCACAAATCCAGAACCATTCAGAACAGTCGAGAACCTAACAATCAATGTGGATGTCAGTGAAGGCTGGGCAAGGCAGTTCCCAAATGTAAAGAACTTAAAGCTTCATCAAATGTCCGATTATGAATACAACACAACAGCAGAAGCTCAGACGTTCAGTTCCTTAGAAGATCTTGAGATCCAGTACAATACAGTCGTAGACCTAAACATTCCAACTGTCAAAAGACTTAAACTGTGCTACTTATCAAAATTAGAAGCTGGACGTCCATTTGATTATGAAAACTGTAAAAAACTTGAAGAATTGACGATAATTCGATGTAGCGATGCTGAGTGGCTTGCTGAATATTTAGAGAGAGTTGAGACAAAGCTGAGATTGTTGGTAATCCAGAGCACTAAGCTGAGCGAATGCTGTTTAGGAGTTATTGAAAAGAATCGACAAAAGATTGAAAATTTGGAAATATTTTAATAATTTTTTCGTTAGCTTTTAAGTTTGAAAATTGTAATAAAGCTGCACTGACATTGCGATTCAAAAGTTTCATGACCGTTAAAGAAATTTAAGGAATACTTCGTATTACCTAATTGTTAATTGTAGGTTGCAACGACGGAGTCATGCTTGTAATTGATTGTCAAAACAACCACCATTCATCCTCCCCACCCAAGAAGCAACTCAGATCTGTAAGAGTTATTTGTAATGTTGTCCCAATGCTTTCAACAATTCTGTTTAAACGTCAAAAATATTATTTCACATGGTTTAGTTATGAATTATTATTCTGAATTCTTCATAATCGTTTTTCATTTAATCAATTTTAGGAAATAATTTTTGAAATTGTGGTTGACAGCTCAAATAAATCCAACGATAAACATTCCACGTACTGCATTCTATCAGAGAATTCATTAAGTTCATTTTTTACATTGTCTTTCAGACTTTGTACTTCATAGATGTCAAACAAACATTAAGAACCGCGAGAACGTTTTGAATTAATTTGGTTGGTAATTAAATCATATTTACTTGTAGATGTTTTTGGTAATGTCAAACTAATTAGATCAGTGATGGCTAACACATGTGGACACGAAAAAAATCGATAAATCCTACGAACCCTTTGCCATGAACGGTTTCGGTTTGGGCTTACAACGTTGTGCCTTGGCACAAAAAGGTTGGTAATCACTGAATTAGATAGTTTCAATTGTAGATTCAGATAATCAGTTAATTGAATTTTAATAGTTGCGGAATTTTGTAATGTTTTTATGTCCTTTTTCGTAATAGCATTTTTAGTTGCACTGATCTCAGGTAATGGTTTTTTGGTATTAAACTTAATTTAGGGGTATGTTTAAGATATATCCGAGAGTAGGACTGTGGTTGATGTATGAGTAGGTGTAAGTAAAACATAAGTTTTAGTGAAGATAAAAGAGATTCTTATACTATGACTCACTAGAGACAGCAGCTTCATCTTAGATATAGGCTTTGCTTATTATGTTTCATAAGGCTTCTAGTGGCTTTTCCAAATAGATGAGACACTAAGGTTATAAGCTCTAAAACAGAAAGTTGAATAAGAGTGGTTCACATATATTGGCAAATTGCCAGTTCCAATAGTAAAGCCCAATAGCTTAGTCGTCTGAGATCTTGACCGGTAATCGAGACTTGCGAGGTTCGATCTGCTTAAGATGAATAATTGCATGAATTGCCTTTTTTCAACATTTTTTGACACTTTATGTTAAATATAAATCATTTAAAAAATTCTAAAATAATAAAAAACATTTTTCAATATTTCAATCATGAAAAAATGTAAAATTTTCATTTATTTTTAAAACTCATAAAAAATATATAAATTATTCAAAATACGCTAATTAAATTATATCATAATAATTCTTAAGTAGATTTCCATTGGGAATTAGTTAATAGTAAGTCTTTAATCTGCATGCTGTTTCAAGACTTTAATGCAATTTTTATCATCTTCAGTCATCAATTCATCTTCATAGCCCCAAATAAGCCCATCAGATCCCTGAATCATATTTCCATTTTCATCGACACTCTTTTGCAAAACAAACTCCTCAATAAGTTGTTTATCTGACTTTCCTGCTTCTTTTGAGTATTTATGACTTCCATCACCTGTCCTACATGCTCGTTTACGAATCATGTCAGCTGAGACTGTTTTGAGATTATAAGCCCAGCCTGTGAATTGAGAAAATTATGATTTTAAGCATTATGAACAGTAATTCTGGTTGTTAAAGCCAAATTGGACAAAGTCTTACTAAATATTGGCTTCAAAAGTCTTGATACTCACCAATCCATGCCATGAAGTCAATGAATGCAGTTGTTAGATTAAATGAATAAAATGCTAATTCAGATGTTTTGTAGTCATATGGAAACACGTGGTGGTAGTTGTGCCATCCTAATGGTTATAGAAGCACTTTAATAAAATAGATAATTACAAAACTGTCTCTTACCTTCTCCAATGGCCAGAAATCCTACCAGATAGCTGTCTGATGGGGAAATGTTTCTGAAAATTAAATAAATAATTGTCACGATTGAACTCCCAAATAAGAATCAATGTAGAAGATGATACACATGTGAGTATGTTGCAAGGGTTAAACTTAAAAATTGTCTACTTTTAAGTATGGAACTAAGCTTAGACCCGTTTAGACTATAGTTTATCTTAAACTATTCTGCTTGGTACCATTAAATAAGTTTCTATAGAATTATCTGTCACAAAACCCATCCCACAACCCACAAACCCAAACTTACTTGTCATAAGGCTTCATTCCATAAGTATGAGCAGCACTGTTAATCAACCATGTGATATGCAATGTAAAAATATATCTCACAATACCAACAAACAAGAATGATGCCCAAAACGATTCATTCCAAAAGTAGCACGGAATAAAGACTGGAATCACCAAAGATGCGACCAACATGATCGGTATGAAGTGTCTGTGCTGAAACATGACATATTTATCACCTTCCAAATCAGCCATTGAGACTCTACTTCCAAATTTAAATACATCTGGGTGCTTTTTGCAAAGGAGCCATCCCATGTGTGAGAAGAAGAAGCCTCGACGGACATTGTGGGGATCTGCATTAGTGTCAGTGTATTTATGGTGAACTCGATGATCTCTGGACCATTCAAATACACTGCGAATAAGAAACTTTTAGTAAATTAAGCATAAATGCAGCTGATTCTTACCTATTTTGAAATGCAATTGACTGGAAGTACAGCAGCATCACTTTTAATGCTGTGTTAGTTTTGTATGAATTATGTGAGAATAGTCTGGTTTTTGAGGTGATTTAAAAAGAAGAAAATGTCAAGTTTTATTAATTATATTTTAAATTGCTTAACATGTTACCTGTGTGCTCCTGCAGTCACTCCAAAGCCACTCATTAATGCATAAAACATTGCTAAAATAATTGTAAAATTTATATTTTTTGGTAAGATTTTTGTATGTTTGTTATTAGACTGGAATGTTTATATTTGGAACTGCTGCATAAAAGCCTAGCAGCCTATATTCTAATCTTAATAATCATACGCAATTGGGGACTTTACTAGTTTAAAAATAGAAAAGGGATTTCACATTTTCATGTTTATTGGCTCAGGGATTTTTTTTGGGATTTTTTGAAATTTTTCAGGATTAATCCTGAGTTTCCAAGCGTTGATATGTACATACTAGAATTAATGCAATACTGGTTGCTTTTCCCTTGCAAAGGTTTAAAAGATTTAGTTCCATTTATACCTTAAATGGATACTGAGCACCAATCCTGCATTCACTACCATACAGTGATACTCAAGTAATGTCAGAATTAGCAAAATACAAGTTTAAGCTCATCTACCTTATTTAGCTGCTAATAATACTCAAATACCCGAACTGAATTTAAATTTCAATTGCATTATTTGCAACTTATAAATCAAAACTTATGACAACAAAAAGTAAGTTTTCAATATCAACACAAACTTCCGACTTACCAAACAATTTTGTTTCCAATTTCTTGTCAAAATAAAAATTAATAATGCACAAAATGTGAAGAATTATAAAAATTATGATATTTCTCCACACCAGCTCCATTTTGTACTCAGGACCCGGAAGTTTTGCAGGAAATTCTCGCGACTCTTCATTCACATTTAATGAATTTTTATCGCACACGGTCTGTGAATATTAATTTGCTTAATTAGACGTCAAAAAAAAGATATTTAAAATTTAATTTACGTTTTCAAAAGTTTCTGCTTTATTTGTCACGGTTGGAACTTCTTCTTTTGGATTTGGAGTCATGATGACGTGTACAGCTGAGAATTTGTAGTGTAAATGATGAGAATTTATTATAAAAGGATAAAAGAGCTGGAGATAAAACGATAAAAAGTTTTATAATTAGTAAATGCAATTTTGACAAGCAATCAAAATAATTTATTAAAAAATTTCAAATAAATAGCTCAGGAATCACCCGAATAACACAAGTCGATAAATCGATCAGAAATCTGGCACCAAGCCGGTGTGATTCTGACATGGTGCTGGATTTAAATCGAAACCAGCATCATGACAGAGTCATCCCAGCTTGGCGCTGGATTTCTATTCTAATAACCTACTTGTGCCAATCGAGTCAGTCGTTGTAAATCAATTTTAGGAATTATAGTGCGTAAAGGTTCAAGCCATTGTAGATTTCTAATTTAATATAATGAGTCATAAACCAGTGTTGTTCAACCTTTCTAGAGTCCTGGCATACATTGATAATAATCCATGTCTAAAACCAAACAAACCGTGTGGTTTGTGGTATTTTCAAAAAAAAAATCAACTGCACAATAGAGTGCCGCGGTACACAGTTTGGACAACACTGTCAAAATCAATGGAAATTTTTCAAAGCTTCTTCAAAAATATAAGCTAAAGAAATTACATTATCACTTGAACCGATCAGACAAGTCACAGACAACATGTAATGACACAAAACCAGTCTAATTCTCACGTGAAACTTGAAAACAATTAGCACCGGACCGTAGCAGTTTAGAGAATTGAATGATGACACAATCAGTGCATCAATGATTGTTTGTGTTTACAAAATAACCGGATATTTTTTAAAAGAATGGAAAATTTATGGAAAATAGCTTTACTTTAATGAACAAATCTATGCTGATTTAGGTAAAGTGGAAAGGGCTCAGTTAATTTTAAAGGCGAAGCTGAAAATTGCCTTATTTAAATCTTCCGTGCAATAAGTTCAGTACCAAACTAGTTCACTACTTTCATTCAGTTCATAAAACATCTCACTCTTCATAAAAAAGAATCCCCATCAAAACACATGACTAAGATGTCAATAAACAACAGAAGGAAATGACCAGAGAACGATAATGTGATGAATGAAGATCGAAAATGACATAATTTTAGTCATCAAAAAATCGTTTCGAAACGCCAATAATAAAAAAGCACAATAACACCTTATCATTAAGCTTGCGTTAAAACTTGATCAGCACATGATTTATCTCGCAACTGCATGCATGCCGCAATTATATTTATGAAGTCTCCCAATGACCTTGAGTCGTCGTCGACGTCATTCGGACAATGTGGAACAATCAACAGCAACAATAAATACAATGTCAATATATTTAGCCTTATAGCGGTGTCAATAACCGAGTGGATAATACAGCATATCCATAAATACGCATGTTGCAATAAAGAGAAATTTTTTTTCTTGAATTTCGCCTACTAATTGAGGTTAAAGAGACTTTATTACTGTTTAATATCAACAGTATATCGACTCAGAGTTCTTTGCCGGCCGCTAAAAATCTTTATTTTTTCAGTTCCTTCTTTCAAGGTCCGCAAGCACGAGTGTTGCAAAATATTACATCATTGAGTAAGGTTGTGATGATAAATGATGTGTACCTAAGGCGCATTTTTTGGCTTTAATATTTGCGTGTGCTGAGAGGGCTATTATTAAAAATTGGCAAGCGATAGCCAGCGATAGAGCAATGTAAGGTCATCGAAGTAGGTAAGGCTATTATTAGGACCACGACTAAATCAGACATCCTTATAAATTGTAAACAATGCACAAAAAGTCTAAGCATTGATCACGACCGACCTATATCCATGATTCATATTACTAAATATCAAAATGATGCTTCACTACAAGAATTTAATTTATTTTGAATCAAAAAACCCTTGACATCATACCTTATGCAGTGCACGTACATTAATAATTGAATCTTAATCTATATGAATGTAAATTATTGACATTTAAATGTTTACATGTTTGTTAATCCATTTAAAATGAGCAAAAATGATGCATTAATGACCATTATTGAATTCCTTAAGGGCGGCAAATTAATTATTCTAAAGACTTAATGGATTTACACGCACAATGATGATTTGGTTGATGTTTAAGATGTTTTGGCTTGCAGCATTGAAGATAGCATGATGTTTATAGTATTTTGAGTTTATAAGTTGATTCTAAGCTTCATTAGAGGATTTAAAATTTATTCTATTGCCATGATTCCCTCCAACATTTAAAAAACCCTCAAAATTAAAAGTTTGATTCATAAAATTGTTGTTAAATCATCAAACTAAACCCCTTTAACTTAACAGACTCTCAGTCTCCATAAGTCCTTCAAATAAATTAAAAATTAATTTAATTCCCCAGAACAACACCTCAAAAAAAAAAATAACCAATAAATCCTTAAAAAAAAGCTGTGAAATTCACAGTTTCAAAAAAGCCTTTTATATTCTATACCTTAATTATGTGCTATCAGAATTGATTTCCATTCAATTTCTTTATTACCAAAATTAAACACACATAAATGAAGTTGAATTAATCACTGACCAGCAGAAAGAAAACTGAATGAAAGAAGAGTGAAAAAAATGGAAATTTTTTAATATTTTTATTGCAAACTGGTTGAAAGGCCATGAAATTTCTCCGATTGACCTTGCCTGGGCTTTCTGAGGTTGAATCTTTTACGCTACTATTATCTCACTCAGAATTTGCGAACAACAACAACAAAAAGTCGGTACTCCTTGAACTTTTGAACGTAGTTAAAGTAAAAAAATTATTTTAATCTCTTATTTTATGGTGGAAATTAAATTACATTGGCTGAATTGGGTACTGATTTGGGAGGATTAATAGTCTATGATTGTAGTTTTGGAGGTTTTTTATTCAAAATTATAATGCTTATAGTAAATATTATTCTCCTTAAGGAAGCTAGTAAGTTCAGAGTGCAAAACTTAAAAAGAATTAAAAAATTTTAATTAAACGTAATTTGGTAAAATTGTCCGAAACTCAAGAAATAAGAATTCTTAATGACAACTGGTCTTTGAAGCTAGGTTGTCTTTTAGATTTCGGTCAAAAAGCAGACCATTAAATTAATTGATTTTAAGTGCGATATTATGTCAAAAAAAGTATTTTTCCATAAATTTCGCAGTTAGACAGCCTGATTAAAGTTATTGAAGAACCAAACCTTTTTTGACATAGAATCTATTAAGACAAAGATTTTGTAACAGTTTAAACAAGAAATATGTTTTCCTCAGAAAAATTGTTACAACCACACGAGGGTGAAGATGTTTCATTTTCTGGAACTTTCATTTTAAAGCAGTGCATTTTTAAGTTTTTTGGTTGACGATACACTTTTAAGTCAATTTTTTTTCACGGCATACCAAACATTTCCTGATAGGAAAATGCGCTAAAAAGTATTGGTACGATTTAGATCAAAAAAGTTTAAAATTGAGTTTTCGACCATTGTAGAGCATGAATTGAAAATTTGGTCATACTTGAGTATTCTGAAAAAATCTCTCGACACGTCTGGAGATTTTCACGACGCATAGTTTGGAATTCACTGTTTTATAGTAATATTTCAACAACTTAAAAGATTTGCTTATCAATTACCCACGTGTAAATTATTTTTCTGGAGTTTAATAACGGTTCGATCATAAAAATGTGGCTACGAGAAGAAGGAGGTTATAGCGTCAAGTTTTATCATGCACATTATTTATGAATAGCCTTTTTGATTAATTTTTTTTTTCCAAGCAATGGAATAATTATTAAAGCTTAATGTAAGGATGAGGAAAGACTCTTTGTGTAGTAAATATTTTTTTTTCTTTTTGTGTAGCTTAACCTATCAGTTAATCGAAAAATTAAGTTTGAAACCAGTGGAATTATAGTTTACAAGCAAACATAATCCGTGATCAAATCAAATGAAAAATCAAATTAAAAACAATTTTTTGACATGTCATTTCAATGCTTTACTTCTTTGACTGGTACTGGTATTTTACTGATTGTGTTTAAACATTACAGAACATACTTGAACTGCTAAAACATCCCTAATTGAACTGTTATTTTTTAATTTGACAAAATGTTAAGAATTTATTTTCAAAGACCAAAAAGAAGCCTTTCCAAAAGGAAATAAAAACGAATAGCGAAGTTTTCTTAAATCACTGAGAAATTTCACATGACACAATATACATTTTTACATATAAACATGCGAATTTGAGTCTCATGCTGATTTCAATGCCGCATAGCAACGAAAATGTAATTATGGCAAAAAACAATTTTTTTATTTTATTATGAACTACAATGATATGCAATGAATATTAATTAAAGATTAATAAAAATTATTTAAAGTAAAAAGTTTTATAAAATTTTCATTTTTCAAGGTTAATCGCTGAATTGACATTTAAATTATTTCGGAAGACCAATTTTATATTTTAATTATTATCGGAAAGGAAATGATTTTTGTTTTGAATTTAAATTGATTAATACTTTTTTATATTTAAAATAAATTCACAATTTAATTTTAGAAAAGATTATTTTTATTTTTTAAATTGTTAAAAAATTTATTTGAATTTTTTAAATTGAAGCAAATAAATAATTTTAAATTTTTTTTAGTTTCAAGCAAATAAATAATTTGCTAATATAATTTTAAATATTTTAAAACATTTTTAAATAAAAACTTGGGAAGTTATTTAAGTTTGACAGTTGTTTTTAATCAACTGTATCAACAATAGTGCTTATTTTTAACTGCGAAAATTTGTTAAACTCAACATTTCTTACCTCTTAGAACAATTAAGTTAAGAAATTTGAAGTTATTCACTGTTTATAATTTTCTCAATTTTTAATAATTTTCATTCAAATATTTTTTTCTTAAGTTTTTTTAAGTTTTAAAATTCACTTTTAATAACAATAGTTTATTTATCACTTGACCAGTCAGTGGTTGTCACCAAACTAATGCTATTTAGGTAACATCAAAATAGAAGAAAATAAAAAAATAAGAATTTTAAATTTGAATTTTACACAAAGAAAAAAGAAAACAATTTTTAGAAAATTTTTGAACTTGTATTTTTGTCAACACCCCAAAAATTAATTTGAAGACTGAAAAACCTGAACTGTTGCCTTGCTCAAAGCATCAAGACTCTGTTTTTCGTCTTACTTGCTGAACGACTGCTTACAGACTGTGACAATATCCTTACAATTGAACTGTAATGATATGACTGACTTACTTAATTTATTTCTTCTCTTACTCTTTTTTTTTTTAATTTAACTTCTCAGTTCATATTTTTCTTAAAAATGCGACTTGATCTTCTGAGTGATGATGACAGCATGGAACTAGATCAAGTCATGCTTAATAATTTAGATACTATCGAAGCATAAATTTATGTGCACAGTTTTTTTGTCATCATCACGTGCATTTTTGCCGAAAAAGTGCTTGCATAATTGGTTTTGTTTATGTTTTCATTGGTAGATCGTTAACCTGAAAGGTAAAACATGAACAAGTTTTGAGTCATTAAATCACAATGTCTTATCATTGAATAATTGCAAATAAATCTAATGGAAAATTTTCGGATTGACATTCCTAAGTGAAGCAAAAGTGAAGTGGCGAGCTGGTTTAAATTTTTTAAAATTTTAAACTTGTAAATTAATTTTCTTTTTCTTAAACTTTCAATCTTTTAAAAATCTTCATTTTTCAAATTTTTAATAATTCTTTTTTATAAAAATTTCAATAATTCTATTTTTCAAAACTTTAACTTTTTAAAATTTAAATTTTTAAATTTCTAGAAAAGCTCAAAATAACTCAACTTATAAAACTTATATAACGGCCAAAATAAATTTAAACTAGTTCACATGGGTACCCAACTCATATTGTTTATAAGAAAGTTTCAAAATACACAAAAAAAATTATTATTCATCTATTTTTATATGAGATTAAAAAAGTTAATAGATATAATAAGGTTGTAGAACTGATCAATAACATCAGTCAAACTCATTAGTTATGGATCTAAATAGTTGGGAGATTGTTGAATCATCAAATAGTAAAAAAATCAACGAAAATGTTAAACATCAAAATGATAACAAATTAAAAGATGACAAAAAAGAAGAAAATTACATTAGTCATCTGCATCGGAGCAGTAGCAACAACAGATATGGTCAAAATGTGAAAAATTATGAGTAAGTATATTGATTAATTGACAGATCAGCAACAAAGTAGCTTTAAAGCCTTCAAAAGAGAAAGTTTCATTGTTTATTGCAAATTATTTCAGAACAGAATGGCGAGACCTTTGCATGATGATTTCAACGGAACCTGACCTTAAGAAGCTACGAACAATTTCTATTTCCGGTGACCTTAAAGTATCAAAGTTCAGATCAGTCATATGGAATGTCTTACTTGGTGGATTATCAAATGATCCACAAAATTGGATTGAGGAACGAAAAGAACAAAGGAACAAGTATCGTGACCTGAAAAGGAAGTTCATACTAGATCCAAATAGTCTTAGAATAGCTGAAGAGAAAGATAATCCATTGTCACAGTCAAAAGATAGCATATGGAATCAGCACTTTTGTGATACGGAACTACGGAATGTGATTCATCAGGATGTCGTCCGAACTAATCCGAATGTAGATTATTATCGGAAAGATCATGTCCAAGAAATTATGATAAATATTTTATTTTGTTATGCACGACAATATCCACTGACTTGTTATCGACAAGGCATGCATGAGATTTTAGCACCGCTGATCTTTGTCATGCATTGCGATCATCAAAGTTTAGGTCATATCCAAGAGGAAACAAACATTGACTTAGATTTAATCTTATTGACTGTCCTAGATCCAATCTACATCGAAGAAGATTCTTATCATTTATTTTGTCAACTTATGAATAGCCTTGAATTATTTTATAGAGTCAATGACATGACAATATCGGAAAGTGGACAATTGTCGAATATTCCAAAAGAAGACAGTCCGAAAAAAGACCCGAAAAAGAGCTCGGAAATTGAAGTTGTTCATCAACTCAACATGGTGCGAGATAAAATATTTGCCAAGAATGATCTTCACTTGCACAATCATTTTCTCAAATTGGAGATACCGTTGGCTTTGTTTGGAATGTAAGTAACGACCATAAGCTGTTATTATAAGTTAATTGCTTGCTGTGGATTTATTTCAGTTTTAAAATTTGGTTTCAAAAGGCTAAAGTGTGCTAGGGTCAATTAAACTAAGCTTTTATGTAGACTAGGTTCCAGACTAATCAACCAGACTGGCGCGTAGCCAGGAGAGTATTGTCCCCCCTTAAACGTTTTGAACCACAGAGAGAGCACGGCCTAAAACTTTTAAGAGGGGGACAAGACCCTCCTGGCTACACACCTGCTACCAGTTAAAAACTATTTAATTCTCATATTCTCTAATTTATCTTTCCAGACGATGGTTACGCTTACTATTTGGCCGTGAATTCAACTTACTAGATTTGCTCATTTTATGGGATGCAATATTTGGCATCGGAGATAATTTAAAGTTTACATATTATATTGTTGTTGCTATGCTGACTCATATTCGAGATAAATTACTTACAAATGATTACACGACTTGCCTTACAATCTTAATGAGATATCCAACGCATGCTGATGTTTCATTGATCATCCGTCATGCACTTTACATGTGCGAGCCAGAAAAGTATAAATTGCCAGAAGATGCTTTTGTATTCCTTAGAAATAGTCCGAAACAGCGTGTGACGGGAATACCAAGAGGATATCAACAGCCAGTTGTCATGAAAAGTACGGTTCGATCATCAGGACCTAAAATGCCTTCACCTAGAAAACTTAGTGATGATATAAGACGAGAATCTGCAAAAATCAATAGGAAATCACAGAATGACGATGGAGTTGTTGATGGATATTTAGTTGATGATCCAGAGATCCTTAAAATGGAACTACAAGACAGTTACAGCATTATGACAGTGTCTAGAATCAAATTACTTCAATATTTGTCAACTTTAAGGAAATACATTCCCGGCAATCAAGTTGATGAACTTCATCAGACACTTGATGGCATTGAGGAGCTTTGTTCCTTATTAAAGCCAAAACATCAATTTTTAATTGACAACAATGTACCAATTGATGATGCATTTGAGGCTGATGATGATGAAGATGATGTCCTTAATGCTCCATCAACATCTACCCAAAATTATCGAAGTACATTTCCAGTTACAAGAAAATCAAATCAAGCCCCAACTTATGAATTGCCAAGCAATCGAGTGACTAAATTGGCAACTCAATTGCTGCAAAAGAATCGTCGTGAAGTCGAAATGGAAGAGATCAAGTCAGTTGTTGTAAGGAATGAAAGTTTAGGTCATATTCCACAAAAAAATCCTGTTGGTGATCGACGCAATTCAGACTGATATATTATTTGAGATTGTCTGCATAACAATCGATTAATATTTTTGTTTACAATGAAACACTATATTCATTTATGCTGCATTGTATTGTTTAAAATCATGAATAAAAAACTTTATTTAAATTAAATTTTATTTTTTATTAATACTTGGAAAGTTTCTCAAAATAATCCCTGAGCCTGTATGGACGATAATAATGATATCCCAACCGAATCCTTAGTGAATTGGACTTCAATTTTGAACTTCCCTTAAAAACGTCAAGGACGTGGGAAAGGTCTTTGTTTGGGATATATCCAGCTATAGAAAGTAGGACGAAAATGAATTTAATATGAACGTAGTTTAGGCAAAGTTTCAATCCACACTGACTAGTGATTATTAATAATGTTCAAAAAATTTTTATGGCAACATTTAGAAAAGTTTGACAATCGTTGGTTTAATTTGTATGAAATATTACTTACATGCTTCTAAAAATAATTTATATTTGCTAAAACTTTTGCATTTTTATTTCACAATTTCTTAATTTTTTATTTTTTGACAAAAAGTTCGAAGCATTCTGAGCGAATTTCTCTGCCATCTAAAATTCCATGAAAATTGCCATTTTTGTAAGCATATCCTACAATAATATTCGAGTCACGTTTAGTTCTTGCAATGTATTGGTCTTTTTGTTGACCATCATCAATACACTTGCCACCGATTATTGCATTTTCGGGCCATCCTGTACTTTTCATATGCCTCACCCATTCAACTGTAAATAAATATGAATAATAATAAAGAAGGTATAAAGCCAAGTTAAGATTCACTTACATCCAGATGAAACCACATTAGCTGATCCTGGCATAGTTTGAGGTTTTGATGCTGTAAAAGCGACACTTCTCGGTTCCAATCTAACAAGAACCTCATAAGTCTTTTTAGCATGTTCTTTCCAATCACATGGAACATAAGCACATTTATGTGATGGATGAATTTTTCCAGGAATTGTCAAATAAAGATGCTTAGCACGTGCCACATACAAAGATTCTCCATCTGCTGTTCGTCCTCCAATTACAGCATTTGGTGGAACATTTCCATTGCTATCTTCAACCCAAGCATAGTTTCCATCATTAATGAGAACTTCAAAGACACCTAAAGAATGTTCAGATCCACCGTAACTTATATGAATAGATTTAAGATTCCATAGAACTTTTCCTGGGATCAAGTCATTCTTGAACCTTGCTCTTGAAATAAATAATTATTAAGTATTTCGTTAAACACAAACAACAAAAAAAATTCAATTGATGGTAAAATTCAGAAATGCGCCAAATTCACAGAATTTTAAAATTCTTTCTGATTTACCTTCCGATATAAAGATTTGTATTATCATGATTAGCGGCACCATAAACTAGTTGAGATTCACATATTCCTTGATCAACTAAAATCCATATACATTCTTAAAAATAATTAAAAAATATTCAGCTACTTAAAAAATGTACATTGTCAATTTTCACAAATTACCAGTCATTTTTAATCTTATGTAAACCAACTAAGAGCAATCAAGAATTTAAAAAAATATTTTAATGTTTTTGATTATTTCTTTTAAATTCAAAGATGCTGCAAATTTCACATTGAAGACGTAAATAATAATAACTTTGCATGCCGGTCGATCGCGAAATATATATTGAAATTCGTTTGCACACAAATGTTATTAAAAACACAATTTCACAAGTATGAAAATGATCAAAATAAAAAAGAATAATTGTTTTAAAAGTATGTGTTGTTATGAATGTTTAAGTAGGTCTGTTGTCATAACATTTTCATTTAGGAGGAAATCTACATAACGTCAAACTCAATGATACAGAATTTATATAAGCATTATTAATTGGTAACTCATTTACAGAATTCCAGCAAAAAAAGTTATCGATCAGAATTATTTTCACAGCAATGATTGGCTTCACTAAGTAAACATACACGTTATTAGTCGAAAACCTCATTAAAAATCTTAAACTTTAGAACCAGTTGAGTGGCAGACGAGCGGACGCATAAAGTTCGTAAAACGGGCTGTTTAGTGCATTTTTGTATACAAAAAGGGATCTTAATAATGCGAAATGTTCGTTCGTTCGTTTGTTCGTCTGAAGAAAAACTTTTTAACCAGACATCGTAGAGAGCTCAGGTTTGTTTTATTAGCTCCGTTACTATTGTTTATTGTCCGATCGAACAGTTAAAAGTCTTGGAGCAGTGTATTTATACTATAATTAATGATTTTTTTTCATAAACAAAACCACGTGATGAGTACGTTTAATAAATTCAACATTACCTCTATAATTTCAATTTTTTCTAGCCGTTGTAAAATTTGAATTTCAAAAATCTTGCAAAAATCATTAAATGATTCACTTTTTCTGTATGGAAATTCATTGGACCAAATTATTTAATTATAGTAAAATTAATTTTTTCGTAGTGCAACTTAAAGCGGGAAAATTTGAAATTATTTATTGACAGTTAAATATTAAAGCTTTGTTATATAAGCACTCATTATAATTATTTGTTAATTACACTCAAATGAATAATATTAAAAACTTCTAATGATCTGTAAACGAACGCAAAATAATTAGATAATCAAATACTGATCGCTGCGTCAAAAATGCGCTGAAGTCCTTCGATCAATAACACGAGGACTTTTGTAATTTTTTTTCTAAAGACTTTAACTTCATGGAGCCCTGACGAAATTAACTCTCATCGTTTTTGCTTTAGAATTTAAAAACAAATGAGAAAATTGAAATGTGTAGCAGTCATATGGTGCATAACATTAGTGATAATTAGTGACATGGCTAAAACTGTTTCAATGAGAATATTCCTCACCAAACGCCTTGGCTATGTCATCATTAGAAGTGAACACTTGAAGATTCGTGAACGTAGTTTCAAATTTCATTTACTAATTGTTAGTAAATGCTAATGTTAGCAGTTAAGTGCCTTTAGCAGTTAAGTGCCTTGCTGGTCGAATAGGCAAGGCGCTTGGCTCAAATTTGGGATGGTAACTCGAAGGTCGTCGGTTCGAATCCAGCCATTTCCAAATTTGTTCTTTTTCGGAAGTTTAGATACTTCGACTGCTTAATGTACGAGATCAAGCCATAATTGGGCATTTGGGCAACGTTGGATTAAGGAACGGGTCAAAAACTTGAAGTTTAGCGTGAGAAATAGGAACGAGAGCTACAAGATTACCCACGAATGGAATATTGATAGAACGGACTTGAAAAGTATCACGTAACGCCTACAGAAGATCGAAACGAGAGCCTTAGTTTATTTGAAACCTAGATATGAAGATTAGAAGTTTGATCCTACATAAATACTAATTCATATGTATACAAATACAAAAGAGTAAAATGTGAATTATTACCGGACAGTATGTCGTCAATAAATGAAATAAAGTGCAATTAAAAATGAAAAAAAATTGTTATTTTATTGGTTGAAATTTCTACCTCATTGTTTAATTTTTGCAACCCTTTTTACAATTTGCATATGCTGCACATATAAATGTTGCATACGCAAATTACGCAAGTGCATCTTAGCGTATAAAACTTTGTGATTGGTTGAACAAAAATTGGAAATTTATGATCAGAGTGAAATCAAGGGGTAGTTCAAAAGTAAGGAACCAGGAATGTAGTTGGAGCTTCAGTACGAGGAACGTATCAAAAAGCAATTAACTTTTTAAAGTTTTAATATGAAAGAAGTCCCCAACCCAGCTTGATTTTTTGATCTTAAAATATTTTAAAAAGATGTTTTAAAGTTTCTACAGTAGCTTTGCAGATCACTTAAGTGTCACCGATAACAGTTTAAGAACCTGTGGTAAATGCATCGACACAATCACTTTACTAATTTCAACTTTTTTAATTGGGATTTTTATTCAACAATTTTAAGAGCTTTCATGATTTTAATCAATTTTTCTTCAATTTCCTGAAATCTTTTATCAATTTTCTGCTCAAATGTATTCATTTTATTTTGAGTATCGGCTGTCAAGTCTTTCTGAGCAGCATCAATCTTAGTTTCAATTTGATCAAATTTCTGGCTTGAAAATGTCTTCAAATTTTCCAACTTTTCATCTAAAGTCTGCAATTTAGTGACAATTTCCTCATTGCTCTGCTTGACATCTTGAGATGCTTTGGAAATATCCAAAACTGTACGATTAATGCTTGAAAATTTTTCATGAACGCCTGCAAATTGACCAGTGCATCTCATGACTGCCTCCTTAATGTTATTTTTGACACCTGCCAAAGTTTCATTAAATGATGGACATTGAGTTTCCAACTTTGGTGTGTCTTGATGCTCAGCATCATTACTGGCATGTTCTCTAAATTTCATATCCTTTATCTTAAAATCTGCGTGTTCTGAAGATTTTTGTGATATTTTGGAAGTTGTTGGTTGAAAAATTGTAGGTGGCACCACAGATGCAGGAGCTATTTCCTCCAATGACTTTTTCATCTGATCAGCTCGTAAATTTTGAAGATTTTGTTCAAAAAAGTTGACAAAATTGGAATTTTTTATTTCATCCTCCAAAGTGCTTAACTTATCCTGGAAATCCTCAGAACTTAAAGTATTTGAATTTCTTTCAAGTTTTTTGATATTCAGAGCTAATTTAGAGTAGCTTGAGTTATCACATTTATCTTTTGCAGCTTTGATGATACTTTGGACATCAATCAAACCATTTTGAGTCTTCATGTCAATGCATATGTTGGAACCAAGTGACAAAATCTTCAATTTATCCAAATTTTCAAAAACCTTAGGAAAAATGAACGAAATTTTGTTGTTGCTCAAATTAATCACCTCCAATTCAGTGTTAGAGTCAAAAAGTCCTTCTTCAATCACTTCCAATTGATTGTCATTTAAATTAAGTTCTGTTAGTTTTGAGAAATGTTTTGTATCCGATTGATGAATAACTTTAAGTTTGGAATTTGAAATATCTATAATTTTGAGGTTCTTGAAGATATTTGCAAGTCCACGTGGGAAAAAATGAACAGTTTTGTTGGAAATGTATAGTCCAGTAACTTCATCATTATTGCTGTTATTCGACTCACTTGTTGTGATTTGATCAATGTACGCAGAATCCACTGATATAATGTCAACTGAATTTTGAACATAACAATAATAGAGCTTTTGAACCACAACCCAGCTATCAGAATGAAATTTACATTCTAAAGTCACGGATTTTGAAGAATCAATATAATAAGTAAAAATAAGGAGTAGAAGGCTGGAATTAATAAAAGAAAAGATTTGGTCAGCAATTATTGCAAATTAATTGTGCAACTATGTCAGAAACAGAATCTATAAATTCTTATGAGTTTTAATTCTATTTTCATAATGCTAAGCTATTCTAGTTCTTTACATGTGCGACCTTATTTTGTAAATTATTTCTATGTCAATGAATTAAGGAAGTAATGATAAGTAAAATCCAATTTTTTAAAATAGCGCAAATCGCTTATTAAGTAATGCTTTTAGGAGCGAGGGGGTCGTGGGCGGAGGGTACAAATAGGGTTTTTCAATCTCGAGACTAAAATGTACTGGATCCTGGGTTTGATCCCGGGATTACATACATTTTGATCCCGGGATGAAAACCCTAGGAAAAAAGGACACTTTGTTAAATTTTAAAAGTAACACCTTTTCAGAAATTTCCATGAATGGAGGGCTTAAAAAAGAAGTAAATGAGTTGCACTCAATACTTGCGTTTGAATCAGTATTCTGTTACATGGTGATAAATAAGAAAAAAGTCTTTATGAGAACTTTTTGGAAAAGTAGTTCGACAAATTCAAAAGTCAATCTTGATCTCTAAACACAGCAGTTTTGCATTTCAAGAGAACTTTTCAAAAAAATCATTAAGCTGCTCTTGTTTGAAATTTTTTGACTCTTTCTAGGCACGTTCAATCTGGTTAAACTTCAAAAAAATCCCAATAATATGAAGTATGATGAGTAAAATATTTAATATGCCTTTGGCATGGTGAAGGCTTCGATTTAAATCCAGCACCATGCCAGAGTCACACCGGCTTGTTGCAGGATTTCTGATTTATTAACCGACTTGTGCCATTCGGGCTAGATCTTACTTTTATAACACTACGAATTTTCCTTCAAATTCCTCAATTATCTGTTAATTATAGTAGGGATTTTAAGTAGAATTCTAATTTTGATGACAGGAATTGCTGAGAGTTTTGAAAATTTTTGTTCGTATGTACACGCGTTGGCCAATAGATTCTTTACAAACTAAATCACAGTGCTTTCAACTTAAAGGCTGGGCCCTTTACACATTATATGTGTTAAAAACGCAATAGCTAATATTTGAGGGTAAAATGAAAAAAAGAATTTTTAAATTTATCTTTTTTATCGTAGCAACATTTGAATTTTTATTCAAATTTACACCAAATTTTGTTTAGATATAGTTCAAATATGGTTACAATTTCTATGTGGAAAGAAGAGGAGCTTTGCCAAAACGCAAAATTAGACTCCATCATGACTTAAGCTTTTTTCATTTTAACTTCAATTTTTCTTACATGATCACTTTTGCCATATTTTTTTTTAAATTTAGAAAAATAATATCAATTGCCAAAAAAACACTTTTAATTGCTTTTTAAAATAGAATTGTTGACTATTTTTGATTAAAAAATTCAAATAATCAATAAATTCACGTTACTTTAGAATTAAAAGCTTCCTTTAAACTGAGTTCAGATCGATTAAATATTTCCTTTTTAAGAGCAATTCCATCTCCCTCTCAACAGTCTCAATTTTATTAATTATGAGAGAACTCGATTTTAAAAAATATGTTTTTGTGTCTTTTTTTATAATGCAAAGTAAGAAAAAGTTCAATGTGAAGGTTAATCGGATGTTGATATGAAGTTTCTAATGTATTTAACACGTGTGATTTACTTACAGTTCATCAAACATTGAAAATTGAGGCGGGATTGCAACACAAGTGCAATAAAATTGTGCAACCCTTTCAATAATTTGCATATGATGCACAAATGCATCTTACATGCACGCACATTTACGCAAATTTGTATTCTGTGTAAACTTTATGTACAACATATTTCAGGCAATTGATTGGTCAGCTAAATACAAATGAAGTTGGAAATTCTTTTTAAAAATTAAATTATTTAGATAAATTTCATTCGCGTTCTGTAAAGTTAAAATTGATTTTTTATCAAGTTAAAAACAATCAATTAATTTATTTTAATAGTTTTATGAACATAAAAATTAAATTTAAAAAACTAGAAAAAATCAATAAAATGTTATCACGACTTTTCTTTTAACTCAATGCTATCATAAGTTTCTAAACATAGATATTGATTAAAATTGCCTACATTAAAGGCGAATGTAACATTCATTTAATAACTTTATTTTATTAACTATAATAATTTTGTGCAAAGTAAAAATATTATTAAAATCAGAAAAAGCTATTTTTTTAATTTTAATAAAAAAAAGAGATTTTTTTCCCATTCGTTGTCGTGGTCACTCCAGTTCTGTAAACATTATCTTGATTTATATCTTCTTAGCATTTAAAATTGGCTAAATTGCTTAGACTTACTTTTAATCTATCAGAGTTTTCACCTATCAATTTCCTACCAAAGGCAATAATTTATCCCAGACATTGCCTTTAGAAAGGCATCAAAATTTCCGTTTTGTCAAGGCATGCCTATACATGGGTGTTGCCTGGACAAAGGCAAAAGCTACCATGCTCTGGTGAGACACCCACAACTATGCAAACTATCATTTTAAGTACGTATCCCTGCCCATCCCTTGGTAGCAAGCGGTGCAAATAGCTTAAACTAAAGATAACGATTTGGAAACTTCATTGACTTAATTTGAATGAATTTAATTTATCAATTATAAAATTGATATTAAAGCTGATATTGTAGGACGAATTAAAATTGACAGGCTTCGTTGGGCGGGTCATATTGCTGGAGACCCATTGAAGCTCTTATTATTAAAGTTCTTAAGTTTGATTTTGAAGATTGCAAAAGGGCACGTGGATGTCCCAAGAACTCTTGGAGAGAAGCTGTTGACAGAGACAGTATTACACTTGCTATTGGTAAATGGCAAGCTAGTATCCAGTGATAGAACCAGCTTCAGGCTCCATCTAAGGGAGTCCATGGATCACAATTGATCTATACGGCCAAAGAAGTAAGCAAGTAAGAACACAAATTTACGATTATCTGTAAATATTTTGAATCCTAATAATAAACGCAATTTTTGCAAGCCTCTTTTTGATGTTTTGCAATACATTTTTGAGTAATTTACGATAAGAATCCTTGATAAGAATTCTTCTCACCGCTGACTTGTCACTAAACTGGGTCTTTGAATTTCAAGCAATATTTCTCTTTTTGGAGTTTTGCGACGTAACATTGATGTTGATAACTACTTTCGATGTAGTCCTCAATGAACGGTATTTTTGGACGCACACGTAAGTCCTTTCTTTTACTCACATATTTAATTATGAAATCAGTTCACAAGAAGGATTAGAATTATTTTGAGAGCTGTGAGCGTTTTACATCATGTCCTTGCTTTTAAAGCAAAACATATTCAAGCTTTTATTTGATAGAAATTACTCGACATTCGATAAGCATTTTTAAAGCTTGTTAACATGTTAATAACTTTGAAACAATGATCTTTAATTCACATCATTCAGGTAAGCTTCTTTGCAACCCACTGCATTTGAGGAATTCAACATTGTCTATTAAAACTGTGGATTTGATTGGAAGCATAACTAAAAACATATCATTTTCGTTGCTTTGAAGTTTTAAAGTTTAACTTCTTTTACCTCGAGTGCCTTTAAAATGTAATGCAAAACATTTAAGATGGACAAATGAATCCTGCAGGACGAAAGGATACTTAAATGTATTTGACATATAAGACGCTTTATATTATGCATAGCGTAGCTTAACAGTAGATTTATTTGTTGTTTTTAAACTATTCTGCATTTCAGTAACTAAAGACACTTATCAATAGCCCATGATCAAAATAGAATGACTAAGAGTAAAATTCCATCTACTCTCAATACAACCGGCAAATGTAGACCTCAACTAATAAGTCTCCTAAACTTCATTTCATGCACACATTTCAGTAAAACACTCACCAAATAATCTACTCGCCTAATAACAACAACTCAGGCAAGCAACAACAAAGATATCCAATCGGAGAGAGCAAGTAGATGAAAACATTCAGCGACAAATGTCTACAAAATATACAAAAAAAAAACCAAAAACATTGTAAAGCTAAAATTTCTTTCGTTTGTGTTACCAATTTTTCTGAAGTGAAAAATTTACAAAACAAAAAAAACCATCTTTCGGACACAAATTTGAGTTTTTAGATGCAAAATTATCCCAACTAAAGGTGAAGTTTAAGGATCGACTCGAAAAGTTAACGGAGCAAAGGTTTTTCTTGATGTATACGAAAAAAAAAATATTTTTTGTTGCAGTGAAAAAAAAGGTTGAAAAAAAATAAAAAATTTTCGATCAAAAAAAGTGAAAATTTTGGATGAAATTTGGCGATAAGTGAGGAGTTTTTGAGTAAAGTTGTGGAAAAATGAGGAAAAGTTGAGCATAAAAAAGAAGAAAAAATCATAAATAAAAGGAAAAAAATTCATCTTAATGAATAACAATGAAAAGAGATGAAAATGTACGCGGAATGTTTGTAAGAATGTTTGTGTCTCACACGCACACAGCTACAAGTTGACTCACACACACAATCATAGTCTTATATGTGTTAATCGACGGGGAATAAAAAGAATTTTTTACGCACTTTTTCTACGCGCGCCATTCTTTGTGTCACTTTCCATCGCATTTCATGTAACTTTTTTTTTATTTTTGTTTTGATGTCTTTGAGTTTCTAGCTACGCACTCATGTTCTTTACCTCCCTACTCTACACCGTGTGTATTCATTCTCTACATTTTGTGTTTTGTCATATAAGAAACAATTTGTGTCGACCGAGATTTTAATTTATTTTATTTATTTTGGTAAAATGTCACACAAGTTCTTGGAATTTTAACATTTTTGAACCAAAAAATCTACAAAAAAAAATTAAAAATTGAAATAAATCTTGATAAAAAATTAAAGTAGAAATCACAATTTTATACCTTCTATTTAAGGTTCTAGAATATTCTGTTGTGTAGAATATTGTCATGAGTCATAGAATTAATGGCACAACTTACTGAAATAGTTTACTAAAAACTTGATGAGTAAGGTCCGAAATAATTTCAAATATTGTGTAAATGAATGAGAAAATGTTTATTATGAGCACATTGCATGCATATGATCCATGTTTTGAGATTTAATTTTTATGCGTAATTAATAATCTGCATCGTACTTTAGAGGAAAAAATGTTTGAATTTTCATTGTCTTATTCTTAAACCAATACTGAAATCCAGAATCCACTCTTAAAAATACCTCAAGTCATGATTTCATAGAAAATGTCAAAATATAATTTTCTTCTGAGCCTGAAACTAAACGAAATTTTCAAAAATGGCAATAAAAGAGGGTGGTAAATTCGAAACTTACCTCCGAGTGACGAAGATTCTCAGCTAATATTGAATAATGAGTACGTATAAAATTAAACCAGATAGAATTGATATATTACAGTAAAAATCTTGCATTTAAAACAAAATTGATATATGAGCTTAGTAGAGATTCATTAAGCATTTATTCACCTAGACAACAGTCCACATGGACCTGTTACATCTCTTCAAAATTCATCGACTTGACTGCTTTCACTTTCGTTCAATGAGTTCTTTAATCTAACTTAATAAAGGTTCCAATACTCAAAATTACACATCTTTCTAAATTCATGTAATAGCGAATTTTTTAACAGCATTAAGGGCAACAAAATGCCATATTAAGCTTATAATAATAATAATAATGTGGGAAGGGCCCAGCCTTTTTGAGCTAAAGACACTGAGAGTCAAATCATATAAAGCTTAATAGGAACATTTTAAAATTGCAAATTTTATTCAATTAGCTACAAATGTTCAAGTTGCATTGGAAATTTTCATGACTTTTCCAAAAAATCGCATTTACTTATGTGACAGAGCTCCAAGTCAAGCCAAGACTTTTTGGTTTTCAGTCAATTCAACTTAAATGAGGACGACTTTGAAGTCTAGTGTCATTTTTTACTCATGTATCCATTGCCTATTATATTCTCTAAGGTTTTGAGGGAAAAAGCTTGGCGTTAAGGTATGAAGCTACTTTTTTCATATCTTAGGAATAAGGAACTTGCTTGTAATACTAAGAAACTGTCCTCTGATGGAAAATAGGCTACAGCCATGACCACCAATTTGTTTAAGCATAATGAATCATCAAGCAATCTGAAGAAATTATTCATGAACCAACATCAATCCATAGATTTATACTATCACGATAAGTATCATAAAAAATTATAATCTGGCGATTCCCCAATGCTAGTATCATATAAGAATGTATGTTCTATATACAAACATTTTCTTCTCATCTATGATAGTCTCTGCGTTTTTTTTTCGGCGTATAACAACAAGCAAGAAGAAAACGAAAAAGAAAAGAAAAAAAAAACATAAGCGTAGTAGTTGAGTTGGAAACGTGGTTGCAATTCCATATTTTTTGTTCCTCTCGCGACAGTGGAAGAAACAAAAATTCGGCAAAATACTTTTTTTGTTATTATTTTTCGGTTCCTTCCGGTTTTATTGATGAGAAAGTGACATAAAAAGTGAAAAGTTGAGTTTGGGGTGCGTATAATCCTCTAGCTGATGGATTTAAAAAAATTTATAGTGCGAGAAAAAGTAGAAAGCAAAAAAAAATATTCCCGAGTTGAATGAACTTGTTCATGGTCCTTCGGAAATATTTTTTTCTCATCGCTCGACTCTCGAAATGAAAAATTTTGTGGAAAATCTTTAAAGTGCAATTGGTGGAAAAATAAATTTAATTTTGAGGTTATATTACAAAGAATTACAAAACAATTGATTTTTTTTCACGCATATTGATTGACACAAATTAAGGCTATAAAGTCAGTGAGTTTATTATCAGTTGAAAAACTTAAATTCAAGGTCATTAATCTGAAACATAAAGTTATGATGAGCATAAAGTTTCAAAAGTTTAAATAACAATTCTTATTGTATGATAAATATTATATTGAATAATTATGGTTATGTTGGTCCCTCAAACGCGCATTTACGCACTTACTCATATTTACGTATGAAACAAGAAGAAGCCAACATTTTATATAAGAATTACTTGTATGTGTGCCTTGTTTACAGAACATATCTCCATCTCACTCTACAACTTACTTCCCCTACCAATACGCCACACTACAATCACAAATATGAGACGACTATAATGACGAATTGCGCGGTTGTTTATTCGACATTTTTTTTATTCTTTTTTTTTTTTGTTGTTGATTGTATTTGAAAATATGCCGGTCAATGAATGAATTTTTTTTTCTTCTCATTCCGTTCCTATCTTCGTATATTATTGTTATAGTTGTAGAGTGGAAAAGTACATAATGAAGTATAAAAATCACTCATATTAATCTTTTCATTTTTTGAATAAGAAGAATGATAAGAACTTTTTTTTTGTTTATTTTTTCATTCACAAAATGAACATTTTTTTTATTTTATTTGATTAAACTTATTGAATTTATTTGTATTTTTTTTTTGTGTGAATTAAAAGTTTCTAAGTTTTTAATATGTTTCATTTGATAGAATTAAGGATGATTGAACTGAAACAAGGTGAAATTTGTGGAACATGAGGTGTCATTTTCATCTTTAAGAGCTTGTTTGCTTACAAAATTCAATTTATGAGTGATTTGTGAGAGTCCTTGTGAACTTCAATGCTCTTTGTGACCTACTCTGTTTACATCTCACCTATATCAGCCAAGGTGTGATAAAATGATCAAAAATTAAGTTTCGCACCCTTAATATAAGCTTTATATTGTAATATTGATTCTTTTTATAGTTTTTGACTTGTACAATGATTTTACTTTAGAGTCAATACTAAAGTGTTTTAATGGTTTCGTAAAATCGAATAAGAATGGACAGGGATATTTAGAATAGGTATCGAGCTCGATGCGATCTTTCTCATAACTAATTTAACATGATTAATTGTGCAGATGTGCTAATGCATCTCTCAGGTACATGCTCTAGCATGTATAAAATACACTCAAAACACCAGCTCATGTCTTAGTTCCCTTACTCCACCCTTTTTTTGAATCCAGTGGCTGAGGAGTTAATAAAATGATTAACAGTTAAGGGTTCGGATCTACTAAATTACATTTTGAATATTTTTTAACACCGAATCAAAAAAGTAAAATTGAAAAGTGATTTTTGGGCTCACTAGTAGCTTAGTAACTAGTAGTAAATTATAACGGAAAAAAGGGTTTACAA